TGGTTCTATAGAAACTGACCCTCGTTAAGAATTTAGAACTTACACTTTCTGAGGTTTGAACTCTTTTACGATGATTTTTTTATATGTACAATTTGTTAAATAAATATGGCTCTATTTATACAAATTTATTTTTATTTTAGTTTTATTCTTATAAAAATATATTACGAATCGTTAGCGGTGCGTCAATTTCATGAAAAAAAAGCAAAAAAATTGCACGAAATTTAAAATGAAATTTGTTCTCTCTTTATTAAAAATATAACAAATAAAAATATAATTCCAAATATTTTTAATCCTGATAGATTTTATCAGGAGATATATATATCGCATAGATCACATCAACTGTTAAAATATTTTAGGATAATATTTATTTGAGAGAAAAACAATAAAAAGCAATATCAAAACGTTACGACGAGAAAAATGAAAAAGAGGAAGAATAGAAGAATCGCGGATGTGTGCGTACCGTTACGTACATTTCAACGGTACGGGCACGCGAAATTGATCTTCAAATTGGCCATTAGGCAAGTCTTCTGTCGCATTGTGAAGATTGCGCAATGCGTTTCCTTAATTGAGAAGAGAAGAAGGATAAGCTTCCTTCGACGAGAACTCAACCATATTGTCACTGTTACTTCTATTTCAATTGTCGTATATCCTCAGTAGAACACAACGTGCGTGATAATAATGAGAAAAGTAAGTTGCATGTGAGGATTCTTTGAAATTTATACGCAATGCTGATTCTTGGAATGATCTTTTTCTTTTTTAAATTATTGAATACTGAGTTTTAAATGCTTAGACGATAAATTCTTAACTTTTTTTGACGGTAAAATCTCTTTAAATAATATTTATTTTTTTTAATCGTTATCTAACGTTAACTCGATATCAGAGATCTATAAACATCAGTCGGGTTAAAGAATAAAAGTTGTTAAGAGGATAAAGAATTTTTGTCCAGATGTATACTTTTTCAGCGGCTAAATGTCAGTGTCGGTGTAGACGACACATGTCGTTCTCTCACCTAGTATCTTGAGGCTGAAACTCGAAGTGTCTAGCAGACACAAAAATTGCGCAATGCTAAGCACCTGAGCGTGCTGTCTTCCGCTTTACGTACCGCAGGACACGCGACAAACTCCGCACGGCTTCTCAGTGACGTGCCGGCGGTAGTCGTGAATAATGCTCCGTATCCGGCAAGCAAACTCCGGAGACTGCAAAAGACCAGTGTTTTCCGACCACATTTTTGGGTGACATTTACGATGACACTTGGAAAAACTCCGCGATACATTAGTAAAATGCGAACGCATAGGTGCTTTCGACATTTTGTATTTCATTTGACAAGCATTTTGTGATTGTGCCCAACTTTGAAGAGAAGTCATTAATAGAAATTAGTGAAATTAAGACACCTGTTGTGATATTTATTCCGAATGTTATAAGAATGAACTTTGAAATATTAACAAAGCCGTACAAGTCTCATAGATTAGTATTTTGTTCAAAATGCTAAAAAAACAAAAAGAAAAATGCAATTTCTGAAACACCTTGCACAAACAATTTTAAGAAAAAATGGTATGTCTTTGATTCTCAACTCTTGACACAAATCGAACGATAATCTCGGCGTTCATCTGATGAACACACTTGAATGAACAAGTATTAAAAGAGTTCTCGAAAGCACGTTTGAACGTTCATTGTCATGTGTTCCTCTCGGCACAATCCCGGGGAATTAATCGAAAACGGAATGCGGTTGGAATTTTTAACTACTGCACAGACCACCGATACGCGGTTGCCCATAATCGATTAAAAGCGACTTGTTCGACTCCACGTATAAAAGTAGACGGGCGTATTATTAAACAAATCAACAAATTGTTTCAATCTATCGAGATGCAACATAAGATCGTACGCTTCGTATAAGAAAAATAAAAAATTTTTACTTCTGCTCTAATTTAGACTCTCGTGCTTCTTATAATTTTCACGATTGTTCTCCCTAAACGTGTAAAAGCACTTGTTTAACGGTTTACGTAATTCACACAATGAATTTATTCCGCACATGTCGAACGGTATACTACATTAAGCGAATTTGTATCTGACGTAGTAACAGTGCTGGCTAATTACATCTCATAATAATTCATGCGTACATGCATCATGCGGAATCTATTTCCACAGTTCATCACTCCTGTACATTCCCAACCATGCGCAGCGCTCTTAATCTAAACTCAACACCTTTGTTACGAAACATTATAAATTATATCACAGCGTACGTGTGTTTTCATATAAAAAGAAAGTAAAATCTTTAACATATACAAAATGTCTCCAAATTTGCTCGAATTAAGATACTATAACGGAAAAAAATTAAGTAATAAAAATCTTTGTGGTTTCTTATTTTAAATGTTTATTTAATTTTTGCACTCAAAAAAATGATCTTGCAATAATAGCTAAAATTTTCTAGGTGTAAAAAATTAACTAAAACAGATAAATGATTAGCAACTGTTGTGATATTGCATATGTAATTACTTAATCAGTTTAGATGACAGAAACAGAATATATATCTGTATTGTTTGTGAACTTTAAAAAGAAAGTTTCTCTAAAGCGCCTATCTATATAAGATCAATCACGTGTTAGATCATGCAATGAATAACATTTAGCAATGGTACCTAAATTTTTCAGAAGCTATTGCTAGAACATTACTGCTATAAATTCTGTATGTGACAAACAATGTTTTCACAGATACGAAAAATAGCGATACATTCTTGTTGCGATATCTAGAAATCTAACTACATCAGCGAAATATTTTTTTGAGTGTGAAATATGAGGAAAGATGATCGATTAAAGTTGATAGGCTACATTCAGATGGCTGTTTTTCATGAATTACGTGTAACATAGTATTAATGCTTGCATAGTAACGATTGCATACTTTAAAAAAAATAAAAAAATTGTGTCGTCTACTTATGCGCCTTAATTTACAATGAATATTTTTATAGATCATACACGTTACCTTATAATAGTGTGCATCAGCGAACACAATCTTTTGTTTAGCGTCAATGACCGCGATGACTTGTATTATGCGCGACTTATAGACAGATAATCGTAGCCTGTGAGTGTTAGTTAACTTTAAATCTTTGTTGTTTAAAATAATATATTGCAAAGATTTTTTATTACTTAATTTCTTGTAAACTTCTCCGCTATATTATTTTAAATCGCGAATAAAATAAGACTACTCTCTCTCTCTCTCCTTCTCGTTACGCCTTCTACATTCTCTTTTCACGGTGATCTAAGCACATCCGTTACCTGGAAACGTCATTTTATGTCGTTTTCTTCTCGTTTTCATATCACCACTGACGGTATTCTCGTTTTCATATCACTACTGTCAACCAGTCAATGCGAGCAATTTTTTTACATCATTTTTCTATTCACTCATCTTATTCTACTCTTATTTCTCTTCTGATAAATATTAAATTATATATTGAGAGAGAGGGGGGGAGGGGAGAGAAAGAAAGAGAAGGGAGGAAGATGCAAATTACTTTCCCTCGTATTTGATAACCGGAAATTGCGAATTGGCATTACACGACGATCGTGCTTGCTCATGCGACTCAAGACTTTCCCGCAATGACTCACAGTATTGCTCGCTTTTCCTCTCGTAATCCCATTTTCTCCTTTATCAACGATTTCCTTTAATGGCGGAAAAGACTTTGATCCGCATTTAAATTGCATTATCATGAAATAAAGAATTTTATACTGAGGATTTGTAGCATTAGAAAACAGTCAAACTTGAACGATTTTATCGAAATAAGAATGAGAATTGTTAATAAATCAAAAAATAAAAAGAACAAAAGCAAAGGAAAATCTAATTTCTTTTGAGAGAATGTAAAACTTAGAAGCAGAAAAATTTCTTAACCAAATACTTTATTTTTGACAAAAATAAACATCACGAAAATTTTAAGAACATTCAAGAAACGGCTAAACTTAAAATGTCTTTTAGAATATTTGCATTCCCTAAAATACAAAAGTATCTTGAAAATTAACGCGATGCGTAAATTTAATTTAATTTGCACGAACTTTTAAACTTGTATTCACAAACAGTTTCTGTTGTATTTAATTTATTCGCGATACATTCTGCTTTCTAGTGATATCAGTGGCGATTTTTCCGTCACATTGTTTTAGGACTCTTTGTGCGTGATCGTGGATGAAGCGCCGATAAGGAAACTTTGACTGACGTCTTCATTGTTCGGTTGAAAGTTTGCCGCGGACAATGAGACTATTCGTAATCGGCGCAACGAGCAGAACAATACTTGTCGGCACAAATATTGCTCGTGCATCAGCGCTATTTTATGTCGGTTTCTTACAATAAAGCTCAGCGAGGCTAAATGCATTATAATCTGTGTTTAACCCAATACAATAATTAAATTTGATGGAACATGATGGAATTATAGGATTAAAGTATCAAATTAAAACGTTATAATGCACGCGAAAGTGAAATTGGAGCATTGCCGTCAGCAAACTTTTAAACAAATTATTATGTTTCACCAAGTGAATTGTGCGGTTTATGTCAAGAAACGATCATATCAAGATGAACCGAGAATTTCGTTAGATAATTAATTAAATCGCGAGTGTGCTTTGTGCGGAACGTGTTCCCGCAAGACTATTCAGGAGACAATGCATATTGGAGATTTGATTGCTATCATGGAGGAATGCGATAAAGACGAGACTGTAGATATGGATTCCTTGGAGTTCGAGGTACACATCGTTTTACGGTTCACAAAAACTGCGGCAATGATCTAACCACTTGACTTTATTTTTATATATCTGTGCGCATCTATATTGCATGTTTATACAGTAATTAGTTTTCCGTTTGCGAAATGAGAGAAAGTCAAAAAGTAAAAGGATACCTTACTTTTCCTTGTATTTTTCAGCTTTTTATATATATTGTTATTTGATGAAGAATTTCTTGTAATAAAAACATCGAAAATGTATTTTTGACATATATTGATGTAATGTGTCATACGTTTTTTGTATATTTACAGGCTACGCAGCTGCCGTCATGTCCGAAGAAGTTGGACTTGAGCAAAGGAGGTCTGTCAAGAGTCCCTGACAGCGCGATTGCTTTTCCAGCGATAGAGGAGCTCGTATTGTGCTGCAATCAGATCACCAACGTCGATAACAATCTAAAACTTCTACACAGGTTTGCATGCACATTTTACATTTACATTAAATTGTTTCTATATCGAGTAATGAAAAAATTTATTTAACTCGTTTCTACATTGCTTCCGCTTCTGCTTTAATTATTGTGCAACAAGAAACAAGACAGTAAGCAAATATTTTCTTCCCGCATTAGCGAAAAGATCCGATGCACGGTAACAAAAATAAAAATTAAATTAATTTTTGTTGCGGAAAATCAGATAATTAGAGCAGATAGATTCAACTCGTTCCGATAAGAACCAAGCACGAGTGTACGTCTGATAACAATGCGGCGAGACTACAAGGAAACTTTAATTAGTAGTTAATTCGTACGTAACTCTCCATTCCCTTGCGTAGGTTTCCTAAACTTCATGCCGTCCATCTAGAGAGCAACGATCTCCGCAGAATCCCGCGGGAATTGCTGGAGTTACCGGCATTGACCTATCTTAATCTCTCGGACAACAAGATCGAAATAATTCCAGCTGACATCTGCCAACTAGTCAAGTATGTACATGATGTTATTCTGTTTTTTTACTTATTCTCTTTTATTAAATCAATACGTGAAAGCGTCGAATGTTGTTGCCGCTTTTGCAAGATGCTAATTCGAATGTTAAGCTGTTGTGCTACAAATGAAAATAATCGAAAATTCTATTGTTTATTATATCGCTTGTTTTTTTTTTAAATTAAATCAGCTTATTATCTTCAAGTACAAGCAAATATGTTAACAAACACTCAAAAATTTTTATTCTTTTTTCTTTCAATTTTAATTATTTCCTTATTGAAAATTATTGCCACACGCCATTTAACGTCTCGATATTTCATTCAACGGAATATTAAAAGTTAATTAGTATTTAATTTTGATATTTATATTTGGGATCTATTTTGCGAGGAATCGATGTGGGGATTAATATACGTTAATACACGCTAAATTTTCCCTCCGTGCCGCCTGATTTATGTGCGTCAATTTAGGAGCACAATTAATTACCAACACATTAATCACCCGCTATTGTCGATCAGCGGTGATAACGGGCTTGTGCGGGTAATCAGCGCGCGCGCAATAATGATCGTGTAACACTGTTAACACTCCAGCTTTCTAAAGAACATATGGCTGTTGATATTGAAATAAATCCGAAAAATACGAATATTTATATGTAAAATATATAATTTGGGCAATATTATATAATAAGTAAAAACTATTTTAATTAAACAGCTGCGTAATAAGAAATTTTTACAAAATTTTAAATTAATCAAAATGATAAATTATTAAAAATATTTTTATTCATTATTCTAGTTCACATCACATTGCCCGTAGTTGTTTTTTACAAAAATATCCTGACTCTTGGTCCATTCTGTACTTTGAACTGCTCCGCATCATTGAACTGTTTTTTGATGTGCAAATTATGAAAGAACAACGTTTCTTATAATCGGATAACGCAAAAACCTAGTCTCGCGAGAGAGAGATCGCACAATCGAAACGAAGATTACGTAAAGTTTCTCGAAAACCGCTTTCCACAAGCCGGAAATGAGAATACCAGAGTTCTGTGGAGGGAGGAACTATGGGGTGTGAACACGGCGGTGACGCTGCACGCGCGCACATACGCGAGTCGGCAACAAACACACACACGTGGGAAGTAAAAGTACTTTTCACGTGAATTCGCCATAGATGAATTTAAAACAAACTTTCAGAGTTTAGTTTTGAAAATTATTTAAAGGCTTGATAAGAATTCTTTCCGCCTTTCTTTCTATTGTTAGATGAATTCATAAATAGTTCTATAATAGAAACCGTTCTTTCCGGCTTCGACTGTAGAAACGATGACAGCTTAACGCCGCATGCGTTATACTTTGACCAAATATACGCTTTATACTATTCGGGCCGACAATTTTACATTGGCAATTGTACGTGTTTTATTCAAGTCTGATCTTTTGAAGAAAATTTGACAATGGAAAACATTTTAACGACTAACAATGCCGCAAAGAAGTACGAGATTCGAGTCAAAGAGTTGATTTTTGTCACAAGTTAGAGTTTTTTTAAGAGGATCACGAAATCCATTCATCAAAAATGAACTTGTTGAAGTCGAATACAGTTCATTCACGCAGGCATTCACTATTCCTTACTACTTCGCATGCGGCGGTTTCCACCTGAGTCGTCTCGCGCCACTGCCCCGACGTATGGCTCCTTATGTTGCTCAACCCCATTCTACGGCAGAAGAGGCTTTAAGGCAATTTTACACAATTCACTTTCAACGATCATTTCGAACGGGGCACTCAAAGCGAAAGAAAAGCGCAGTAATTTGAATTTAAAATTATACGACATGTGATAATATGCGGGAGCTTCCGTCGTCCCGGGTATATCTTAGTTGACCCAGATATGAGAACAAAAGGCTTTCAATGCTAAAGGATCTTAAAGAGAGAATCACAGAGATTTAGGTTTTTATAAGAGAGATTTAGGTTTCATCAGATAAATTTATTTTTTATAAGTTTCTGGTATAAATAGGCTTGCTATTTAAATATACGTGGTTAATAATGCAATTAATTTTTCTGTTTGAAAATTTCGCAAATCTCACGAATTGTTTAACAATAGCAATAATGCAATAATTATATTTTGCTAGAATTTAATGTGAATAATTTACAAATTTTGTTAATGAATCGGAACAAAATTTTGCAAGAATATTTATTACGTTTGTTAATATATATGAGCACTTTGTTAATATATATAAAATATTTTATGACTGACAATGTTTTTTTGTCAAATTTGTTGATGAAATTTTGCACAGATATATTCGGAATAAATAATAAAACAATCTATCTAAATGTTCATGGTTTTACGAATGTTTTGACACATGATTTATGTATCTTTAAAGCGCATAAATGCTTTTAAAATTATTTTTAGTCCAAAATTTGAACAGCTATTTCGATAAAAGCGTATTGCATATCACATGTTATACTAGAAGTATAATTTGGTGACGTTATTCGTGCGAAGTCGAAGCATTATACAAATGTAACAAAGATTTCTCGTCGGCCATCGCTGGTGCATGTCCGGAGCGAGCCACGACGCATTATCGCTTGGTCCCGCTTCGTACAGACAATTTCTGTTCTGTTACATCAGAGTGGTCAGCCAACCCATCCTCGGTTGTGCCTCCCTCTTTTTTCCTCAGACAGAAGACGGCATCCTCGCGGAATAAGTTCGCCTTTCGACCGATCTCTTTAGTCCTCGGAAGAACCGCCGCGAGTGTATACCTCTGGCGAAAATCGTGTCACGGAAAAGCGCAGAAATCGTTTCCGAGTCGCTGCCACGAGAAATTCCGCAGTCAAAAAAATTATGAATTTTTGTACTGATGATCGAAGCAATTATGAATGTGCAATTCTCAAAATTCGTACACGATTGTCGGATCGATGTTAAAAATCGAATTACTATGTCATAAAAATTTAATAATTGTGAAAATCTTGCATGCTAGTGTACGATTCGCATTTAAAAATTTATTTATAAATGGACAATGTTTATTAAAATAAAAACGAGGTCATGTCACCGATTGCGACATCGATTGCGATGAGTTCGGATATTCCATCGTTTCACCGCGTTCGAAAAGAATGCATTATTGATAAATATAATAAAGAAAATAAATTATTAAGAGACTCTTAATAACGTGCATTATCGATGTAATGCACTATCATTACAAATATTACAATATACGTAGCACATGTTTATTAATAAAACAACTCTGCAATATAAAGCAATATGCCATTCGATTAATATAATAAAATAACATAATTTTATAACATAATTGTTAAATATTTATAATGAAAAGTTTGATTATTTAAAAAATTTTCTACGCATTGCACACGCATGCTAAGGATAATTGAAACAAAAATAATTAGTGAAAATTACAAAAGAGAGAAAAATCTGCGAAATAAGGTGAAATACGTATAAAAAAAAGTGTTCTCTTTTAACAAGACTATCTTAATGATAACAATCGTCTGAGTTTACTGAAGAGAATACTCCAGATACTTAAACACTGCCTTGCTCTTACACTAGCGTGTGCAGAGCAACCAAACAGTTAGAAGTTATAAGTGGCAAAGCAGGTGAGAAACAACAAGTGCCCGCTCTAAAATGAGACGACAATAGTTTTACGAAGTGAACATTAACTACGTTAACGACATAATAATATTCATTCTATATAACTCGCATTTGTAATTCTTCATTTTTTTTTACTCTGTATTTTTATTGATAATCTATAATTACTTTTTTGTAATCAATTATAATAGCTTATCATTTAGTTATTTTTATAAACACAAAATATATAGTGTGCTATAATTGAAAATCTGTTATAATTTTTTATTATGTTTGTAAATTTATTATTCTTATTTTAATTTTTTTAAGTAAAAAAATACATTTTTCTAAATATATCTTTAAGAAAAAATCTAAATTTAATTGTTTGAAACGCAAAAACATTATATTTTTATATATTGCATACATATATAAATTAAAATAAAGGTTTTAAAATTTGTCATGAGATTAAAGATGTGCTGACAGAACTGCTATTGGTTTAATCGCAAAAATCGAAAGTCTATTCGATGACACAGTTGCTTACTGCAACGAAGGTTTTCACTATAATTCGAAACTTTCTACTCAAGTGCACATCCTGTGGGCGGCTCGCTCGTTTAGGTTCACCGACTCTTGTGTCCGAAGCTTCGAGATACAATTCGCAGTAGTCGCTAAAAATTGCGCTACAATACTACGCCGTAAAAACTATAATTTTGAATCATTATAAACCCATTTTAACAACTAAATTTTGTTTTATTAATATTTGCAGACCAATATTTATAAATCTAGTCTTTATAACACTTTATGGTTTCTTTGATAATATTTATTTTTGGTATTTATTTGTGATAAATTTTAATAACAGCAAGAAAATTGAAATAATTTGAATACAAGAAAAACCAAAGCAGAAAAGTCGCAAAGATAAACTTATTTTTTTTTATTAGATGTTGGAAAAACATGTTTTCTGTTTAAATTAAAACCACTTAAATTTTTTTAATTTTTAAATAGTAATTAACGTCAATATATATTTCTAAAATAGCACACGATGCATTTATTTGCATACTAATTTATTCACGATCTAATCTGTGTTTGTTAAACATAACAACATCATTATTATGTTACAGTCTAAAAGAGCTGATCCTTGACCGTAATAGCATCAAGAACCTACCAGACGAAGTGACGCGGCTGAAAAACTTGAGAAATATTTCTCTCGTCGGAAATTTACTCAGCACCGCACCATCCTTTTTCAATATGCGAGCGCTTGCGCTTACAGTACGTTAAATATTTTACATATTTAATGAATAGTTAAAAAATTTGGGCGTTTATATATATTTTTAATATTACCAGACAATTTTTGTCGCTTTTAGCATAATGAGTTAATGTTTTAAGTGAAACTCTCTTTTTAGAGGGATAATTTATAATTAAAAATTTTAATATTATATTAAAAGCGACAAAATAAAGAAATTGTCTGGTAATTAAAAATTACCTCATAAGAGCTAAGCGGTCTTTTTATCGATCCGTTTCTATTTAACCTCGACCTTTGTATTTATTTAACTACTCGAGCACGTGTCTAACATTCCTATTTTGACCACTGCGATACACAACACACACGTGACAATTTTCTCTGTATAATAATATTATTTTATTTAAAAAAAATTTTTTAAATGAATTCTGAAATCGAAAAAAAAATCTAATGGTAAGTTGAGAAAAAGAATTAAAATTTTAATTAAATAATATTAGCAGATTTTTCGAGCTCTTATGTATATAAAATATATTTAGTCTCTTTCTATTTTAAGAAAGAAAACATAAAAATTTATAACATTGTCTCAATCTCTGTAATAATTTTCTTCTGTAATTTTCAAAATTGTATTTCTCCATTTCGATAGAGAAGAAAGTTATACGAAAAAAAATATTTCAGAACTTTCTTCGGATTTTTTTATTAAAAAAAAAAATCCTTGTATTGAAACAGTTACTGATAGTTGTTCCTAAAATTAATTTTGTATTAAGTTTATGACCCAGCTTTCGCTAGGTACGGTAAAAAATTGGTTATAGACTCTTTAAAGTCACTCCTCTCCACGGAAATCTTTAGTAAAAGGCGAAAGATTTATTCGTGATTTGAAGAGAAATCAGAGTTAACATACTCACCCTTTTGCATACCTTTATGTCCTCACGGACATAATCTTACTTACAAGAAACTTGTCAACTTCAAAGACATCTAGTGGCTGTATTCAAAATTAGAAATATCTTCTTTTCCCCTCTCTTTCCCCTGGCTGAAGGATAACCCCCGGTGAAAGATCCTCGCACATACACACACACACACACACACACACACACACATGCGCGCGCACGCACACATATGCATACCAAGGATCTATCAGTAACAGGTTTACCACTGAAGACTTGTGAAATCTTTAAATAATCGTCAACTAGAGAAACGAATGTCCTTCTTATTATAATTTAGAAAACAATTTAAAATATCACTTAAACATTACTTCATTAGTTAGTATAATAATCTGTAGAATAGAAAAGTCTGGATCTTTCTTGAATTCTGAAAATCACGATTTCAAAATTTTTCAAATTTATTACACTTTCTATACGTTTATATAATAATCCGCAGGAAGTTCTGTCAAAGACGGATCATGGAAAATTTTACAAGGATGAAAAAGCCAATCATAGCAATTTACATAAGATCAGTCTAAGGAATAATCAGCTGAAGGGAAATATAATTTTGGGAAATTATGGCGTAAGTTTATATATTTTATAAAACTTTTGCTAATTTGTAATTTTTATTTTTTCCAATCCATCAATTGACAAATAAAGCCTCTTTATTTAAGTAATAAAATAAAAAAGTTATGACAAAGCAGTTTAGCGCTTATTATCATTTTTTCTTTTTGCAAATAAAGAGTTTGACGCACTTGGATGTCAGCGAAAATAGCATTGAAAAATTGGACATTAGTGCTCTGCAAGAACTGAGAAGCGTGCGCTGTGCGCGAAATCATTTAACGGAATTAACTCTTTGTGGTCGAAATCTCGTATCACTCATCGCTGGAAACAATAGTGAGTATAAATATATCTATGTTGTTACGATTATATGCTTTTTACCAAACAAAAAATTATTTGAAACAGAAACAATTAAAAAAAAATCAAGCACACTTTTTATTAGAATAACTAATTAAATAATTATATCATTTTTGCACAGAATTGAAAAAGCTAACTGTCGAACCTGTGCCAACTAATCTGGAGCATTTGGATGTTTCCTAGTAAGTAAATGTAATATACAATCACGTAAATGTTATTACGAATTGGATATTCAACAAAAAAGAAATAATAAAATATTATTAATTACATTTCTAAACGTAGCCAATTAATGATCGACTAAACGTGCTTTTAATTTAACGTTTATCACTTTTTTATTTCTATTTTGTGAAATCTCTATTTTTTTTAGTAACAATTTAGACGCGTTACCGGAATGGACAACTGAATTGCCGGCGTTGCGCGCACTTTTCGCGTCGCACAATGCTCTCACGGCTCTTCCGGACAGGCTGTTGTCGCAACCATCAAGATTGGAAGTCCTCCATCTTCCTCACAATCGATTACAAGCCTTGCCACCTCCTAGAAGACCATTGAATATCGTGCATTTAACTCTTCAAGGCAACATGTTAACCACTTTGCCAACCAGTTTTTTTACCAACACCGAAAAGTGAGACATGAAACTATTTTATATATGCATATTCATGAACTATTTTACTATCTAAAGTAGATTCATCATGTTCTTTATCATAAGTTGCAGTAGATGTTGCGCCTTGTACTTATAAACTTTTTTTTGTAGGATGAAAGTTTTGAACCTTTCCAATAATCGGCTCTCCGAACTTCCGTATCGCGAAGAACTTGGCAAAAATCATCAGATATCGCATACCTTGGAGAAATTATATATCACGGCAAATTGCCTGACCGATACCGCTTTAGATGCTTTGGCGAAGTTCACGTCTTTGAGAGTTCTGCATATCGCTTATAATACCTTGGACACGCTTCCAGAAAGGTAAGCCTATTCAAATAAAGGATATAAAAAGGAAAACAATGATAATTCTATACATTATGCTTTCAGATATAATTAAATATAATAAATATTAAACTAATATAATATTAAATTTAAATATGATAAATGTAGAATAAATATTAATAAAATAATAATAAAATAAGTAAGAAATTAATACAAAAAATAATATATAATAAATAGAGAGATGTGAGAAAAATAAATTTTTTAAATAAATTGTTTTTAAATAATTTGTTTACCATCTATTGTAGATTATTATTGTTCTCTCTATGTTCTTTAATTAATTGTAGTTGCTGTTTTGTTCAATTTTAAAAATTTTATGTTTATAAATAAAATATCTAAAGCTATTTATAATAATAAAATAATTAAAACTAATTAATGTTGGTTTTACAGTTGCATAGCTGCGTGGAATGACCTGGAAGAATTGGTGCTGTCCGGAAACCGATTACAGTATCTTCCCAATAATGTGGCCAATCTGGGACATTTGCACGTACTACGTGTGCATTCTAATCGGCTCCTAACGTGCCCTACATTCAGTAAAACCACTTCCTTAAAGGTGAGATTTTGGATGTACATACGTGAATGTTATTTGTATTCAGCAATTTGTGTAAACGAGATGCGGCTAATTGCCGTTCAAAATCTGGAATATTGCGTTCTCCGTTTATTTAACATTGCTACACTATAAATACGCGCGTGTATAAAAAAAAATAAAATAAAAATTTATCTATTTTGTTCAGGTTCTAGATTTGGCGCACAATCAATTGGACAGGATAAATCTAGCGACTTTAGTACCACCACAATTGCAGTTTCTCGATATATCTTGCAACTCCCGGCTACACGTGGATCCGCGACAATTCCAAGTCTACAAATCTCAAAGACCGATATCTTTAGTGGACGTGTCTGGCCAGAATAGGCCCAGTTTGCCGTCTTATCCGCATCAACAGGAAATTGTCGCAGCGGAGAAAAATGCCGAGCATCCGTGGCGATTAGGTTTCTCCGAGACTGCGGGCTCGCGCGAAAAGTAAGCTTGTCATTGAATTGCAGATATGTGTTAAGAAGTTATTAAGAAAAATACATGAATTATAAGGAATTAAAAAATAGAGGAAAAGACTGTTAACGCTATTTTCTAAGGAAGAAACATTTAAATGCGCATATTAACACATTGCGAACCGGTCATTTCAAATTGATACAAAGATCGATAAATACGCAAACATAATTTTTGCCCGCAATGTATTAAGAGCGTTTCCACTCGATTTTATAATAAATATACATATTTTTTATTTTTATAACTTTTGTATTTTTACTTTCCGGATTGTTCTCTTATAAATACCAGAGTGTATTTCTAAGAGTGAAAAAAATCTCACGTTTGTGCACGCAGGTTGTACATTTCTCAAGTACGAATGCCATCTTTTTGCAACGTCGAGGGTTTGTTCGGCATATTCGACGGCGGTTCCAATCAAGAGGCACCGAGCGCACTTCAAGAGATGATCCCCCGCCTCTTGATGGAGGAGAGAACAGTCCGGGAAACGTCGAAGGAATATCTGAAGTACACCTTGCTGTCGGCACACAGAGAGCTGAAGGAAAAGGGCCAGAAATACGGTATAGACGCGACTCTGGTTCACGTAGTGAAATTGCCGTCGCAACAAGGATACCCGAAGACCTCCACCAAATACTCTCTAAAGGTGGCCACATCCGGGGATGCCAAAACTGTTCTCTGTAGAGCCGCCGGTCCCTTGACTCTCGCCATAACTAAGAAAACTCAGTCGGTGAAAAATCAATTGGGCAACGCCGCCATGTTTCCGCTAGTGGTACCTGATCCAGTATTTGAGGAAGTGACACTGGAGGACGATGATGAGTTCATCATAGTCGCTAATCGGAGATTATGGGAGGTTCTGAGCGTCCAGGAGGCCGTGAGGGAAGCCAGAGCCGAGGCCAGTCCCGTTCTGGCCGCCAAGCGGCTTCAAGATTTGGCGCAGGCTTACGGAGCGGAAGACAATCTGAGCATAATTGTCGTGAGATTGGCGGGACCGAGCCTGGGCGACATGGATCAGCTTATGCGAGAGCTTAGGCATGCCGTCGGCAAAAATAGAGGGCAAACCGACGGCGTGTGTCCTTGTCCTTGTTGCATGCCACCAGCGGTGCACAAGCCACCGACGGCCTGCTGCTGTCACGCAAGCGAGGGTTATTATCTAAATGGCGTATTAAAAAATATAGTGGACAGGTAAGAGAGAGAGAGAGAGAGATAGAATGTGTTTTCAAAGATATGTTAATTAAAAGGAATCAATTATTGCTTTACAAAATTAATTTCTTAATTTTTGAAATTGGGAACTGGGTTTCTGTATTAGAAAAATCTAAACTTTTATTTCCTTTACTACTATAAAAAATATTTAATAATTTTTTTAGTGAAAAGTATGATATATAAAACTCATGTTTTTTTTTATTTGTAGATCCAATAAAGTTCACGGTGGTTCCGGAAGGTATTATAAGAACTCTAGATCAACGCAGGAAAATGAAAGTCCTCCGTATAGAGACGATCGTAGCTCGCCAAGTGGGCAATCTGATCAAGCCAGTGATAGTACTTTTAAATCTCGTCATCCATCAGAAAGAATGTGGCCCGCAAGTGCGGCTTCCAGAGCGACGAACAAGGTCCATCAGAATGTGCTCATGAAAGAAAATGCAATACGAAAGGTAACATCAAGTTCTTTTTGAAAAAAAAAAGATATAAACTGTCTAAAAAGAAAAAGAAATTTATTAAAGTTACAAAACAGTTTAATTCACACAATTTATGCAATATTAGGAAATGAAAATATTTGTAGCATTCTGTTGTAGTATTTTATGATTTTATCTACGTCAAATTAAAATTTAAAAAAATCATCAAACAAGATTTACAAACAAATTTATGTGTATGAAGTTAGCCCCACACTTTAATAAAATTAAAATTTGATATCTTAAAAAATAGCCGAGTTACCGTATTTACGTATTGTTAAAAATTGCAAAATTCGGTACTTCCGGTCCGGTTGAGGTGCAAACGAAATTCAAAGCGGTACAAATCGGTACAAACGATTCTCTTTCGAACTCCGTTGGCCGCGTTTCGATATCTTAAAAAATAGCCGATTTGCCGTAATTACGTAATGTCCAAAATTTTTCGATTTTCTCGTTTTTCTCAAAATCCAAATTTGTTAGGAATTTTTTTCAAACGGTACAATGTTCGGTACAACTAGTACAATGTAGTACAGTCGAGAAAAAATCATTTTTCGAAAAGTGTGGGGCTACTCGAAAAATTCAAAAATTTCGATTTTTTGGAAATCCGCGCGTGATTTCAAAAAATTAACTACGGTACAATTTGGTACAAAACTAGTACAATGCAGTACAATTTCGATTATTTTAATTTTATTAAAGTGTGGGGCTAACTTCATACACATAACAAATTTTTAAAAATGAGTTCTACGAATTGTATTGCATGTTAAACATACATTGTTCAAATCCTCTCTTTATCTTTCAGGTATCATCTTGCTTGCCGACGCAAGAGGACGCCGTCTCGGAAAGATCCGGTGCCCTCAGCGAGGAACAATTTCGTTGCTGGGAGTATATGCTCGAGCAAAACACTCAAATGTTGTTCGACAAAGAGCTGGACACATTGAAGAAGGCACCATTGCATCGCGGTCAGTCGAGGTCAACACCGCAGCTAGGTGGTAATTTGCCTTTCCTGTCAAAGAGATTCGGCAGCGCTAGATCCTTCAATCCTTCGCTGCCGCGGCCACCGGTCGTCCGTTTCGGCAGCGGACGAAGATTGCTAAACGGTGGACCGAACGCCGCCTATTTTGGCAGTCTGCAAAGACTGATGCCGTACAATCTTGAATACGACTTTGCCGTTATTCAGGAAAGAAGCGGTATGGACTCGTTGGAACAGGACGCATCAAGAATGCAGCAGTATTGGGGTGTAGCCACCACTGAATTGTAGATAAATATCATAAGGATCAAACAAGGACGAATGAGATATCTTGTACATACAGAGATTTATTAAGAGAGGCACGTTTAATTTTATTCTTCTTTTCTCGATTTATGCTCTATAATTATAAAGTAAGTATTTGTTAAGTATAAGAAACTATTTTTTATAAATATAGAAATATTTTTGTATGTTGATATGTAATATAGAATGTGTCCCAGAAAAGAGTGTGCTCTAATATAGTAAATTTATATTTGCTTAAAATAAGAGAATACTTTTTAATCTTTCGAAATACGTACTTGAGAAAAGCAATCTACTTATATAAAGATAAAAATATCTTACCGAAATCATAAATATTATAATATAAAAATTAAGTTAAATTCTTAAAGCAAAACAGAGATTTAGTTGCAATTTTTGGACAATTATTGCTGACAGCTGAGCAACGAGCTACTAAATGCATGTGTAAGCTTGTTTCACGAGTAATTATAGTTCAAAAATGCAATGCAATCATATCGCTCTGATAATGAATGACATTAAGATTAAAATTCAAGCAATTTATTTTATTAATAATATTTTATTAATAATATAATATTAAAATATTTTAAACAAAATATTTTATTAATAATATAATAAATTGTTTAAAATATTAACATATTGAATGCTGGTATACGCATTCTCTGGAACACTCTGTGACACTCTAAGATAATTGTACCTGAAGCTGACTGAATAAGTCAAGATATAGTGACCGTTGTTATCATAGCCGATGAACTTCACAACATTACCTATAAAACAGCATGGAAAACTACATGGAAAACAGCATTTAATGAGAATATGTAGCGCTTTTATATGCTTGACATTTTGTGTTCAATTTTTCCAATATTTAAAATTCCAAAATCTAAAATTTTGCAAATTTCTAAAATTTATATATCGATTAAAGACAAAATGTTGATTTTCTAATTTTATTTACATTTATTTGTTACTTCTTTTGGTTATTTATGATTCACATTTTTAGCCGCGAGCGTAAATGTTTATACGAGACCAATTTGCAATTTTTATTCGTTAAATTTAAAAAAAAAAAAACTTAAATTTTGAAAAGGATAAAATTTTGAAAGACTAAAATAAATAATTGAATGAAATAATACGTTCGTAAACTTTAATGAATTCTAAACATTATTTGTCACATTCTAATTTCCTGCTTATCGGCATGTCTGGACAAATGCGTAATCACTTCCTTCCTTGACTTGATCGTGACAAATAAACTCAACACTCAGCAATATTCGAGACACGCTAGCGTTCAGTCTCGTCTGCTTTTTATCGATTAATTTTCCACGCCGGCCTTGAGAAGCATTATCTCATTTGTAATGCGCTATTACAACATTATCGCCTTGAATATTTTGTCTGCGTCAAAAAGGAAATCAGACCGTAAAAGATTACGTAAAATAAAAATTGTCGCTCTCGTATACACTGTACCAGAAGTTTTATAAATCAACGATAAGAAGGAGGAAATATTATTCGAAAGATTTAAAATGCGCTTAACGCGTAACATGTGATAAAGAAGGAACAAATAAATAACCGGTGGTGTTTATATCGATATTTATCACACAAATAGATTACGCAAAAAAAGGTAAATATGGGATTAAGAGAGTGTTGGATTTTTTTTGTTCGTTAAGTATTCAATAAAGTGTGAAAAACAAAATGTGGCGTAAACAAACTGCAGCTATGAGAGCAATAAGATTTTAAAACTGTTATTAATCAACACGGATCTCACACGCCAAGCTGCGAAGAATGCGCGATATCTCTACCTGATTACACATGCATTTTAACGATGTTGTCGAGATATCGTTATGCATTTCCCCGCATTTCTCGGCGATACTGCTAAAAATGAAATGGTACGCAGTGATACAGTATTTATAAAATTTTTATTACAGACTAAAAAACATCTCTCTAATGGCATATTGCCGCTGAAATTTAAATAGTGCCTACTATTTTGTCTCTTTAATATTTTTATAATTTAACAAAAAAAAGTTGAACTCAATAAAACATTACTTAATTTTTTCGAAAGCAATATCAAATATTTTATTAAAATATTATATTAAAGAATTTAAAATATTTTATTAAAGAATAAAGTATAAAATATTATTAAATTGGCAAATTTATTTTGATACATTATATAATATTAAAATCCAATTTTTTTATTAGAATCAAAAATATTTTACTTAATTAATAAAGTCGTTGAATTATTGAATTTATTACGGAATATAAAAGGTTAAATAGCAATACGAATATAAAATGCTTGGACATTTTCTCTTTTTTTTGTATTACTGAGTATGTCTCTTTTATTTCTTACTATGGCAATATCTTGAGGTAATATAATGTAGCCTTCTCTCTTCGCCGGTTTTTTTTTTATTTAAATTTTCTCGTACCTATATATTCTTCCAATTCTTTTTTTAATAGTATTGATAAGTATATTGATATTTATATTCCTATCCAAGATATCGATGTTATATCACTCCTTAGCTTCGAATATTGATACCTGTAGATATTACCACATGTAGAGGGGCGCGATTTATTTCCACACACACATGTAGAACTGTGACGTCGTTGCTCTTGTGCATAACCAGATAACCGTGGAAGAAAAAGGAAAAGGGGGGATAATGAAGTCGAGCATTTGCGTAACGCGATCGAAGAGCGACAACGAAGCTAGTTGCATTCGAACGTTCACGTGTATTGACGTGTGTGCCCGGTCTATTTCTCTTTTCTTCTTTTTTTTATTTCGTGCTCGTGATTCCAATTTGAAAATCGAACCAGTTGACTAAAACAAATTCGTTTTCGAAAAGAAGAAAATAAAAACTCAATTGCCAATGCTGGCGCGATCGAAAAGTTAGCGGTGATCAATAGTGTCTCGTGCACAATGTAGTCTGCTGGAAGTTAACACGTGCATGAATTTTTTTCATCAGGTAACAAAAGTGATAATAATTAAGATGAATATCTCAGGATCAAAATTATAGATTATCGTTACTTAAAACATAATTGTTTTTCTCAAAATTCTATATTTTTTCTCCAAAATAATATATTTCTCCTCTTTTTGTATACATATATGTTGCCATTAGAATCTGAAATTATTTTAACCATAATTAATTAGTTAAAACTAGTCGGAATTAAATTTAATCCATTGTTTTTAATTAACATTATAATTTACTGTTTATTTCTCAGTTGGAACACTAATAATGAATCCTATATTTGCATATTTTCTTCATTTTTAACAGAAATAAATTCAGAATAGCAATTCTTAATTTGATAATTAATTAAATATTTATAGGAAACGTCGGATATGCATATGTACTAGTAACATTTGTATAATGCACGTAAAAAATATTTTTTCAATGAGAAATGCTGAAACCTACTCCAAAATTATTTTGTTCAGTGCTTTAAAATATCATTTGCTTTTATTCTTAGTAAAATTGTTGAAGATCACGACGTCTAAATTTAGATGAATATTTATTAATCTATCTATATTTTTTAATCTCAGCCACAGTGCTTTATGCAAAGTGTTTTAAAATTAGCGCCGTTTTTTTATATATTCCAAGCAATCTGAATCTTGCACTAGCGATAATTTAGAAGCCATACTTCGTGATACTTTTTGAATATTTAGCTTTAAATATATTTATAAGATTCTCACAAAGTATAAGTATATTTAAAAAATTTACTTAAAATTGAACGAAGTAGTGAGCAAAGAATAGTTTATTGTGTCCGTGTATGTTTTAAATTAACAGTATAGCAGTTTCGATACACTGAGAAAAATGTTCTGTTTGATTCAACAAAGCGTCCGTTTGATTTCGGACGAAAGATAGATTAAACCAGAATTCTGGCTTGTTAAATCAAACAGAACATTTTTCTCAGTGTAGACTTTGAACCTTTGACAAGAGCAACGGGAAAATAAATCGCAGCTGACTGTCGCAAACAACTTTCTCAACTGTGCGTCATTTAACAATTACGATAGCAACGTATTAACGTTTTTGAAATACGAGATATCAATTTCTTAATCCGCGCTTAGATTAAAGTTTAATGATGTTTGTGTAAAACAGCCAATACAAAATAATAATAAATTAATTTAATTTTTTACAGATAAATTTTAATGTTATTCTTGTTGTTTTATATATAAAATCATTTATGTATTCAAAAAAAAGCCTCAGAAGCAGAAAAATTATTCACTCACTGTCTGACATTTCAATACACCATTTCTTTGGAATTTTTCGAGTTATACGGTATTCTTTTTTTTATAAGGAAGTACCTTGTATATCATTATACGCATAGAAGCATGATATGACTAATCATAACCGCATTTTTTTATACGTACATAGCTCTGATTATAATTCCCCCTTTGCTTCTGCACTTGATGCACATAGTTCTTATAACGAATGTTTTCCTGTCGAGTATTCATTTTCTATTTCTGATCCAAATATTTTAGTTTTCCTTGAAATATCCCCAAATTTATCATATAGGGAAAAAGAAAATTATTTTGACCGGAAACTTTTCCGAACGATTTTATGGAAAAATTAATTCTGATCGGAATAAATATTGATAATTACGCCAAAGTGGGAATTTCAAGATTATTTTTATATTTTCAATAATTCATAAAAAATTATTTAAAAAGAATTTTTTGTGTGCTGTGACGTCAATGAAGGGTGCTTATATAAAGGTTGCACAGTGGCGCTGTAAGACCTTGGGTCGGTTCTGTTTTGAAGGATGCTCTTTGGAGCAAAAAAAAGATGCAGAAGGTGCATCTAAAACGAACAGAATTATTATGCTGAGTTTAGTACATTGTTCATCTGAAAGTAAACAATCGAGCAATTAATTTTTGCGCAACGGCCACTTTTTTCAACATTGAAGGGTAACTATTTCCAGCGTGGATTAACTTTAACCAACGGTTAAAACTTGTCGATAAATTGTCAACATGAATGGAATATTGTCATGAAAGAAGTTTAAAAAGTTAAAAATTTTTTTCTTTTTTTATGATAATATTTTATTCTTTATATTAGCAATTTTGTCGACAAATTAAACTATCAGTTACAGTAAATCAAGACTGGAAAAAGCCACCCTTATTGAATTATTTTGTCTATGGCCGAAGCGTCCACTGTACTACAGCGCCATTATGAGTCATCATTCGCCATCGTTCTACACAGCTCCATATTCGTTACATTTTCGTATCAGTGTGTTGTCACGTTTTGTACGTTGAGGTGAGAGTGCTACGAGTCACGTTACGATTATGTCGAGTCGCGTGAGGAATCCGAAACGATTGCCACAGGCATTCGTAAAATAACGCTAATTGCCAGACAGTGATCATCAACGACGAAAGATTACTGGGACAGCTGAACAACTTGAACTCATATAATAAAATTGGCCAAATCGAGACTCACCCACGTTGTAAGTAGCTTTGTTGCGTTACATCAACGTGTGTCCGGAAAGCGTCACGAAAGAAACAAATTTTATTTAAACTCTATCTTGAGCTTGAAGGCTCGAATCATCGAGAATCACAACCGAAGCTCTAGGAAAGTGAAACTTTCACAAATGCTTGTTCATGATAATTCCAAGTTTACATGCCGACGCAATCGATATTCAGAGAACAAAATTTTCGAATACTTGCCCACTGAGGCATCCATTGTTTCACGAAACTCAAAGTCCACCGAACTTTAAAAATTATATCGAATTTATTTTCAACTTTGAATTTCGAAAGTCATGAGTATAGAATGTTATTATGAACTCCGTTTTTTGGCGTCATTCGCGAAGAGAATTCTCGCGTCCAAGTCTTGCACGTCATAAATAGCTTTGTTTGCATCATAGCAACGCAAAGCGTCGCGAGAGAAAATAATTGTTAAAATTGCATTCTACGATATTTAAGAAACTCGTATAATTCTCATGAACTCCAATTAAGGTAAAAAAAAATAAAGCATTCTCGTTTGTTAGGTAAAATAGATACACGTGTATTTATACGCGCAAATTTTTTAAGACCAATATTTTTTAATCTCTTTTTGATAATTTATGAGCAAGCAATTTTTTGCGTCGTTGTGTTCGTGTGTTGTATCGTCGCGTGCTGAAAATGTCGGAAAACATCAGCGTCGACTTTCACCGATACATAACAAACCGTTTCGATTGTATTTATCTGTTGATTCTGCACAAACAAAACAAATTCGCAATCTTGCGAATTCGCATTTTTGTAAATTTAGAATTTTTTAATATTTTGTTAATTGACCTTATTCAAATTATTTTATAAATCTCTCATTTGGTTAAAGCACGTGGATTCTTTTTTTCTCTCATCTATTTTTCTCCTAATTTTTGAAAGTATCCTTTTCGCATTATTTTGCATAATTTTGCATTTTTTGAAATGACCATTTGTTTTTTATAAAATTACAACAAATTGCTTTAATCATAAGTATCCAATATACTTGATAGGCTCGATGTATCGCATTGTGTTGATTGAATAATTTGCGAAAGTCAGCACATATTATATGCATATGTATCGGAGAATAAAGTGTAATCTGAGCAACTGTGAGAGAATTGTTATACTTATAAGTTTTTAGTTATATATTAAATTATTTGATATAGGAAGATTTGTGATAAAAATCTTTGATGGCATAATTTTTAGGCTAACAAGTAGGAAAGATATTTATTTTCACCTCTGAGATTATTTACAAACTCAAATAAATAACTTACCCATTTCGAGTGAATAAATATTAAGCTATTATACTTGAGTATTGATCATCAAACCATTTAAATAGCTTACGATAAATTGTATAGATAGAATTTTAATAATTTTATTTGAACACGTCTTGAAATATAAAGAACTGAAAACTAAAGCAAAATCTTTGAGAGGAAAATATGGTAATAAGTAATGATTACATTTTTAGATAAACGAAGGGGGAGAAATATCAAGCAGACATCACGTGAGCCTAATTTTATCGAAGTGGCGGTCACACACAGTTCAAACATGAGGGGATCTAAAAGAGATTGGGTTTTTAGAGTCCAGGTAATTTACAGACACTGAAATTTTTGCTTTAATGTGCTTGTACAATATAAATGCAAGTATTTTTAACAAAATATTTAACGTCTATCTCTTGCTTTAAATTTAAAGGTACCTAATCTGGATAAAAATGAAGTCATCTACGTAGTTGGAAATCTGCCTGAATTGGGTGCTTGGAATCACAATCAGGCCATCCTCTTGTCACAAGAACATAACAGTCGGAGGGAGTCTCCTGTAGTGTTTGACAGTAATAGTAGTGGAGAGTTTTACAGCGATGATGCAGACAATGCAGCTGATGGCATGTTTCATAGCGAAGAAGAGTAAGTACGAAATGGAATAATATTATTGCAGAAATAAATTTTTTTTCTTTAGATATTTTTTTTTTACAAAAATAAATTTGTATTGATGCGTGTATCAACAACACGAAGAACAAATAAATTTATTTCATAATTTAGAAGAAACACAAATATTTGTAATTAATAAATATTATTTTTTTTTATGTTAGAAAAACATAAATGATGTTAGAAAAACATAACACCACTGATTTTGTTGATTGTTATTGCTGATAATTTCGCCAATTACATTGTAAAACTTATATTTTAGAGATGGACGAATATTCTCGCAAAAGGTTGCTCTTCCCATTGATATTGATATCGAGTTCCGATACTTTATTGCTGTTATCTGCCAATCAAATGGCACTAAAAATTCGGCCAAAACTCTGATTATTCGCAAGTGGGAAACTCATATGACACCACGAATGATTCGAAGAAATAGTATGTATACATTTAACAATATTTCCTTGATAGCTTAATTCTCGCAATATATATATATTAAATAACTTTGTTATAATAAAACAATTTACTTTGCAGCACCGAGCAATTTTGATAATGATATATTGCCTGATCCTGATAAATTTGGCTATCACAATAATTACAGCAAGATCGAACGAGGTTGGCTGACAGATGAAACTGTGATACAATTTAAACTTTTTAACAATCCTATTAAGCTCTGGAAAAGCCGACTACAAAACAGAAAAGTTCATATTAAGGTGTGTTATAACGCGATCCATTTTCTATTTTTATTCTCTAACGTTTTTTTTACTTTAATTTTTATATTTTAATAAAAAAAAAAAAGAGGAAATTTATGCTTGTTGCATGAAGTTTCTTCACTTTATTTTAGTTTCAAAATGTATAATAGCTTATATTTAATTACAGATGACACCTGTAAATCTAGTTAGACATAATTCATTAGAACTGCAACAATTTGGAGGCGACTGTGTTGACGATAGTCTTTCCATGGATACGCAAGATATTATTGATCAACCCGCTTTTACCAGTATTACAGAAATTGCTGTGAGTAAATGCTGTGTTTTTTGAAAATATTTTTTTTCTCGAGTAAAATCCTAAACTGACATGCATTTTCAGGTGATGAATGATGAAGAGGCTAGACTAAAGTTCCAGGAGCAGTTCGGTCGCCCGTACAATGAAGACGAATTTGTTATCTTCAATGTTGCCGTTCGGTATCCTGAAACAATAGTAAGTCTTCACGTGGAAGGTCTCATCGAAAGGCATCATATACACGATTAAGTGAAAAACCGTTGGCTAGAATTTATTGCTTGCATTGCTTGCGATTTTAGCGAATGTGAATTTTAATTCTGTATTTATCAGTTCGCAGTTTGTACTTGTCATGCGTTCAAGAATATCATTCATTTCTCCGACGCAACTTGGTATCACGATGACATTAAAAATACACTGGCGTTTTCCCCGTTCGATATTTTCGCAAAATTCTTTACTCTCGTTGAACTTATCGGGGAAAATCACACGCAAAGTGATCAGAAAATTAGAAAGAAAAGAAAAAAAAAAAAAGAAATTGTTGGCATGGCAGAGCAATAAATAACCGGTGGTGATTCACGAAACGAGTTAAGCACACTAAGAATACGCATTGACCATACCATATGAGTTTTCAGTAGACCACGAATAGGCCGGCTACGTCTCCTCGTGCGATTTGTTCGAATTATTTGGTAAATGATAATTAAACTTGTCCAGCAGCTATCTTCCTCCTCGGAAATGCCAGCGAAATGCGACGTGCTCGCGTGATGTCCGGTCCCGAGCAACACGAAGACGACCTGTTTGGCTTGTACAAAAGCAAGACCTCTGGTGCAAATGATGATGCTAACATACAATCTGATGTATCGATGCTAAGCATCGTCTACCACTTTACATCTGTGTCACATGACATCACACAGAGATATGATGGTCTTGATTGTCGTTCACCCTACCAGACCCATCCTCAGGCTGGTCTCTCGTAAATCGTTTCGCGTGTGACTTCTCTTTCTTACACCAAATCAACATCCGCTAGACGATTAACACGACAAGTCGTCGCATTTATTCCAGTTTTAAATAACCCGAGCCTTATTTCTATTGTATTCTTTTCGGCCGCTGATTTGTCGATATACGCGAGTCGCAGCCATTCCGTAAACTCCTAAAATATTTGCGATATCAACGCTATCACATCTCATATCCATCTGTGTGCGTCGAAAATGGTGAGATTCCCATCACTCCTATTTCCTTTTAGTATACTACTAATATTTTCTAGCTCTGACCAACTTCTGTACCGTACGTGCCACCGCTGCGCGGCCAATGCCAGAATCTATGCTGTCAGATACTTCTGAATCCGAATTGCAAACGTTGCTGACTTGCTTTTTCTGACTTATTTATTTCTATTTCATTATCTCTCTCTCTTTCTCTCTCGAAATTCAACATTGAATGATCTCGGCAGGTGTTGCGGAATACGCGTTACCAGGCAGTATACAACATTTGACAATTATCGAACCGGTTCATTGTTAGATTGTTAGAAATTTGTTGCTCTTGCCTACCAACGATTCAATCAAATTTCTATGCTGTGAAGTGTAACGGAAGCTTCGGACGATCAAGCTTCAGCTTGACCGAAGAATATTCGCGGGTTAACGATATCTTATTGTCTCACGTTTCAAGACAAATCGTTTGTTGTGGCAATGAAAGAAACAAAATTCTTAATTTGCAAAAAGATAGCATGAAACATTATTATTCTTGATTGCCTGTCATAGGACATGGTTAATATTAAAGTAAGCACGAAAAAATGGATGAGCTAAAGTTGTTTTAAAAGAAGCATATTGGTGTTGTTCGAAATACTTGAGCCTTTTCCGATAAAGCATTAAACAGACTGTTTTTCCAGGCATACTTAGTGGACTACTACGTGTACAGCTCAAGGTGTTTCCAAGGAGAACCACCAAATCACATTGGTTTCAGCTACATCTTGCCTAGCACTTTACAACCCAGCGTCGGACTTCTGACCGTACCGATCACTAGTACAAAGCACAGACCCATCGGTAAGTATATATTAATATTGGAAAACGTGACAATATCTTTTTTATTTGCCAGAAAATTGAATGACGTAAATTAGAAAATTATTTATTCACTTTTATATAAGTGATCTCATATGTGTTGTCTTTCTATACAATTGTTAGATTAATTGTTGGGATCTTTGAATATCACACAAGCTTCTTTTGAACTTGTATATATTAATAAGATAACTTTTCCTATTTTACATGTTTACACCACACCTCTTTTCTCTCTTAACTCGTAAAGAACACAGAACAATATATATATTAAGATAGGATACTCGCTACGCTCCTATTATCTTACGGTCTTATAGATGGCGTCACATTATCCATCACCTTAATATAAATATACTCATATTTCAACAACAATAATTGTTATATTATAGGACAATTGACGGTAGAATACGTCGCTATAAAACCAATTCCGGATTATCCGTGGGACATGAGCATTTCGTACGCAAAGCACTGGGAACAACGATGGTCAGGTTTGGACGTAGGACACAGAGGCCTTGGCACATCTTTCAAGTTTGAGACGAAAAAGTAAGTTAATGTATCATGTATATCCAACACCAAAATAAGATATGATCTTGAAAGAAAAAGGAAAGAAACCAAATAAAAATTTACGTCAATTTAATTTAACTCTATTCTTACTTCTTAAGATTTCTTTTTGTAAGCAATGATTTTTTACAGCTGTGCTAACGTGCGCGAGAATACGGTAGCATCTTTGAAGACTGCATCGCATCACGGTGCAGACATGGTCGAGTTCGACGTTCAGCTCTCGAAGGACCTTATACCTGTAATTTACCATGATTTTTATGTGTCCATCTCGATGAAACGTAAGAAGCAGATAGAGGCGATGGACATGCTGGAGATACCCGTCAAAGATCTCACTTTAGAGCAACTGCATCTACTCAAGGTATTAATTAATACTGACTTCTCATACCTCTTGTGTCATGCATTTTTAGTATTTTTGAACATGTTTATGCATTTATGTTTTATATTAGTTTTCTACGTAATGCGATATATAAATTATATATTATAAAATATACATGAAGATCAAATTTTAACATGAAAATGAAAATTTAACGATGAAAGCAATGGAATACATGGGAATGCTATGATGTCTCGCTTTTCGTGTTCGTTGTTTCTTGTTAAAGGAAAAGTAGATTGCATCGAAGGACTATGTCGTCCATCAACTCACTCATATAATAGTTCAAAAGTGCAACATGCTCTCTCGCATTTCTTTGTTTTTTAATATTCGACAGGATTATTGTTATCCGGAAGATTCATTGGGTAAGGTGCTCTATTTCGCTGATAAAGCTGAGCAGGGGGTTAACAGACTGGTGAGCTTTTATACCGCTTGAGGTCGGCTAACCTGTTGTCAAAAATTTATAATCAATAAACTTTCACTCGACTTGCATGCTTTCTGTAAAAGCAATCAAATACGTCAACTACTATTGCTATTGTCAAAAGCGATCTTTTTTCTTCACTATGCGATCATAGCGCAATGTTTCGCTTTTCTTAGAGGCTAAAGTTGAATGTTCATCTGAAAGATTCTTTCTTCGAGAGTGTAATTTTCAATAGTAAAGCTCGCCGATAAGTGATTGATAAAATCGATTCTCAATAAATATTTATTTTGGACATTCCTGCGATTTTCGACAGTAAAATTCCGGCAAAGAAATCAGAACTACAAATAGTTTTACGCTCGTTTAAAGTTTTATTATTGCAAATTACTCTCGAAAAAGCAAACTACATTTGATAAACATTCAATCCGATAGCTTGTAGCAAATCATAAGATCTATTCAATATGAAATCATTGTGCAAAAAATTGAATAAGCGTTCACGGAATTGCTTCTAACGTTTGATATTTTATATCCTTAATAATATCGTCGGTCGCCAGTTTCACCCCCTACGACTTCATGCAAATGCTCATACATTGTACTTCATTCGAAGTGCGGAGAAAGAATTTCAGGACTGAGTAATAATTTTAAAAACACTTTTTAATGAGAAAATATTATTAAAATTGTGTTTTTAGAATTATATCGAAAGCAAGAAAACGATTGTGTCAATTTCGTTTTTCTTCTTTCTTCAAATATTTCTACAGCTCAGTCCCAAAATGTTTCCGACTGCATCCTGTCAGTTTTATCAATCACGGCATGACAAATATTATATGTCACAAGCGACACGAAGTCACAAGATCAACTCGCATTAAATTAATACGGTTGTCTTGTTTCGCTTTGAACATTTGATCGCATCAACGATGATGCGATCGACACTTTTATCGACTCTTGTAATTTATAACGATTGTTACGTGTGTGCGCATAACGGTGGGAATTTTCTTCCAGGTTTATCACGTGGCCGAGGGTCGTGAGAAGAATCCGAGATTCTTTGACGAGGATTTGGAGGAGCATCAGCCTTTTCCCACGCTGCAAACGGTGCTTCAGGAACTGGAGCAGCATGTCGGATGCAATATCGAAATTAAATGGACCATGCAATTGAAGGTGAAGATTTTTAACAATACTATGCGAACAGCGAGTGTAAAAATAACAAACTAAATTGACCTTTTCGTTATCAGGATGGCACATTCGAGCTCAATCATCCCTTTGATCTCAACATGTATCTAGATATTATTCTGAAAGTTGTATTAGAATACGGAGGCGATCGAAAGATCGTGTTTTCCTCGTTCAATCCCGACATTTGCGCGATGATCCGTCTTAAACAAAACAAATACCCGGTAGTATTTCTAACGCAAGGTATTACATTGAAGTATCCCACTTATCACGATCCGAGATGCCAAACGATACCGATGGCAATGAGGCACGCATTGACCGCGGATATACTAGGCATTAATGTCCACACCGAGGACATTCTTCGCGATCCCTCTCAAGTGAAATTAGTCAAAGACGCGGGATTGATCATTTTTTGTTGGGGCGATGACAATAACGATAAAGCTACTATTCAACATTTGAAGAAACTCGGTTTACACGCGGTGATATACGACAAGTAAGTGACTTATTAAACAAACGTGATTCAATGGTCAATAATTTAATAAGATTATGATAATTATATATTTTTTTTTTTATAGAATTGATGAGTATAATGCAAAAGAAGTAAAGGAGAGTATATTCTTGGTGGATGCCAGAGAAAGCCAGAAAGAATTGATAGCTTTGGCCCACTGCAATCAGACACCGCAGACGCAGATCTCCACGTCTCTTAATACAGAACAGGTAATTTTTTTTTTTTTAGTAGATATTTGTTGTAATATATCTAAAGTAATTATAAATTTTATAAATAATTAAAAAATTGAAATTTATTTGCAAAATCTATCAAATAATGTTGATTTAGGAATATTACGTGGATCGACCATCAGCGACCACGTCGCTGAAAAGTAGTATTGATAACATATATTCCGTGCCGACTATGAAATTGCCGATCAATTGTGAAGAAAGCAAGGAGATGACTGAGATAACCAACACCTTTAGTCATTCGGTAAAGACGAAAAACTTGGTGTGCGGACAGTCGAGTGAGATGTACGCAGAAGATGAAGCAGCGAAAGATTGCCTTTGATGCTTCTCTTTTAGGAAGCCTTTTTTCTGGTGGTTCTGAAAATATGCCGTTGTAAGAAACCTTCCGGAATGTAACAAAAAACATTCTTGTAATTTATAATGTACCACATTTATAACTGCATACGCTGAAGCGTTGCCGAACATTTGTCTGTATTTCTGAGATTTATAAAACGCTCTAAGTCTTAAATTGTACATAAATAGTTCGAAATCGGAATGGCCAATAGTCTGTGATTGGAGGTTTATCGGAAAAATTTTCCTTACCGCTATCCATATCTTACGTTTAACATTAAACATAGTTACATGATTTTGCAATTTGTTGCACGATTGCGTTTTTCTCGGTAAGGACAAACGTTTAGAGAACGAACATTAGACACATATAGCGGTAAATGCGAAATTAAATAGAAATGTGCTTTAATATATTTTAAACCTCCAAATCTCCGAATAATACTGGTCATTGTTTTAAAAGATTGATATAAATAGCGATAGTGCTGTATGCGAAGAAAAATCGTCCGATTTACTCTTTTTATACTGCATACCATTCCTCCAATCGTTCATTTTTTTTTTACACTCTGTACAGCGTATGTCGGAAAAAGCGTACAACAGATTTGAAAGAAATTTTAAATTAATTTTTCTTAAGCGAGTCAGGTTTGCCAAATTTTATTTATAGAAAGATTCTTCTAAAGTTATATATTTATATTTTACAACATATTTTGTAACTTTTAACTTAAATATTCAAAAAATTCAAAAATTTGAAGATTATAATGAGAAATTAAAATGTTAAAAAATCTAAACATAGAAAGATTTGTAGGTTTCTAAATGTTTAGAAATTAAAATCCAAAGATTAAACTCAAGATATTTAAATTTAAAAATTTAGATAAAAGTTTAGGAATACTAGAAGGAATACTACTTAATCGTTAAATCATTTAACAATTTGAAATTTCAAACATTTAAAACGATAAAATCTAAGAATCTGAAAATACAGCTTTATTTTTAATAAATAATTTATTAATTAGTTGTCAAATTACATTTTCTTTCTGGTACAAAATCAAAGGCAAATTATTCAATTCTTACGCTACCGACATATAACTCTTTGCACAATCTATTTTAATCTTAGTACTTTTTAATCAATATTTTCTCAGTGGTAATGAATAAATGTCTCTCTAACGCGGGCTAGAAAATCACATTCCAACTCCTGTGAATCCGTTCGCGAATTGACGCGAATTGAATTGAACACGGGAGTTATGTTTTCAGTACAAATATCTTTAGGTATATTTTTCTTCAGAATCAGAAAGAAATATTTATTTAACAATTTTATTCAGTATTTATTCAGTAATGGCTTTTGACACATAATTTTGGTTTTAGAGACGTCTTTCTAAACTATGTCATAGCAGTTACATAATAGGTATTCTGGTAACAATATCTTTCAAAGTGACATCATCAGTAATGATCTCACTTTGGTGGTTGTAGCAGTAATATTTAACTTTAACTTCTTTTAGAATAATTGTATTTGGATTTTTCTGATTTTCTAGCTTGGCTAAACAAAAGTTTCTTTTGCTTAAAGTTTGTTAAGAATTATTTTCAGTTTGCGAGGCACATAATCGGTGTCACACATTTTTAGCATACTAAGTTTGATTATGAGCATTGAGCGCGGTAAGCGTTATCTGGTTTTATCATTTTTAGAAGAAAATAACATTAACCTTCAACGGATAATTTCATCCATTTATAACTACTGATATGAACGAAGCTCGTCCGTTTTCACTTTTAATGTCGCAATATTTCATTGCATTCAGTTTTTTTGAAACCTAGAAAACCATTGTATAAAATAATCGGAAAATTGTGATCAATGCTTATTTTTAGAAGTTCTAAGCATGATGTAAATATTGCAGCAATAAATTTAATTGTTGCAATTTTTGTATCGCATTATGATAGTAAAGTTATACGGCTTCAGAGCCATTGTATCAATCGTGGAGTTTCTGGCAACGTACAGTACACTTGTTTTAATGATAGCAAATACATAATTTGTTTATTATCATGAGATTATGCCGCTATCCGGGGATGTTTAATTATTTTCTTTATATTTAATCGTCCTAAAACTAAGCATTTTTAACGCTGCGTACAACGCAAATAGTGTCATGATAAATTACAGACATCACCGAAGAATCTTCGGAAACAAAATCAATTACCGATAATCGGAAGGCTGAAAAAATAATAAATCAGAAAAATCTAGATTTTATTATTATTAATAATTATTTTTTTTTAAATAGCAACATGTAAGACAACTAATAATACATAGTACTACATAATTAACGCTAATGCGCATAACAAACAAGGATTAGGAGAGACTTAGAGCTTAAATGTATTGCAATTTGAATATAGCATATTTCGAGATAATAAATCCACATTTTTACATTGAAAGGAGTTGTAGTTAATATAATAAAGTGTAAAGGCTTTAGATACACTACAAAAATAGCAAATGCGCCATAGTTTTACTAGTTTAATCAAACGAATAAAAATATTGTTCCAAGTTTGTTTCTAACTTAATAACTTCTTGTATTAAATAAAATTTTATCTAATAGGTTGAGAAGGAATATAAAATAAAGGATTGTATGAAAACCTTTATCCAAGCTCCAATGCACTTAAAATTGATAATTTCACACTCGCTTGAAACATAGATAAATTCGAAAAACAATTTCTTTTCATTTCAGTTATTTATTAAGAATCTATTGATTATAATGTTCTGATATATTAATTTAAAATGGACAGCTTGTTTTTTTCGCGTTCAATTATTGGCTACCAATATTTCACATTTCCAATAAATCGTCAACTACAGCTAATTATTGATAATGAAATAAGGTTGCACTCTAATTAAAATTAAATGCTTTTTCACTACTCACTACATGACTCATTTTAGCTTCCACAGTCAGGTTACCAAAACCAGGTGCCGCTGGAACTAGCCATCCCCTTCCCTCTCTACCACTTTTAAAATAGGGAGTTTATATCCTCCGCAATATCGCTAAGCAATCTAGGTGTTAGCGAGGCGAGGCACCGTCGAGATTGGCAGCTTTACGGCATTTACGCTCGTCTGGTATTCCGTGTTTACAATTGGACGCACGCTAAGTGGCAAAATTCAAGATTATTATTAGCAACTCGGCAGCAGTTTTGTGCAATTTCATTAACGCGATACATGCAATTTGTGAATTTTCATTCGTGATGTTTTGATACACTCTCGCAGATCTACCTCTCTCTTTTTCTCTCTCTCTCTTTCTCGTTCCTTTCCTGCCTCCCTTCTTCTCCTTTTTTCATCTCCGTTTCTTCTGTTGGAAGATTTTTGCGAGTCCGTCCCGTTGATGAAAGGCGTGACCGTCCATATGATTTACTCCGAAAGTGCTGGCAAAAGAATCCTATAGTTTGTTATGCTGCGCTCATCATCTTCGTCTTGTCATAGGTGCGGAAAGTTCATGGACACATGTGTACCTATGTGTATGAGTGTTCGAATGTCATGTGCAATAGTGTATGTGTGTCATTTGCTTATTTGTACTTATTTGCAAATTGATCAGGAGCCGTGAGCCTTGCGTTCTCGCTGGTTTGCTTGCAAAGACTGTCTTTCAACACGCAAGTCTTTGCAAAAAAACGTGTGCATTGGTTATTTTATCGTATGCTTTATGATTATTCATAATATTTGTGAAGAAATTGTTGATTGTTGTTAAAAGATTGCTTTTTTACCAATTAACAATAGTCTCCACATGTTAACTCTATCTTATGCGGCAAAGTTTTAGAGCGTGTGTATAAATACCAGATAACTACAAGTTTCAAAAACGATCACTTTGTTGTGCATACATCGTGAAATGTGTCAGTGTTTAATCTTTGATATTTTTAGGCTGTGCGCGCAATAAAGATAATATTAGGAATAGAGATTAAACGTGACGCACAATGAAAAAAAAAAAAAATTAACTGTAGGAATTGTGTCGTACGATGATTGAAATGTCATCAAATAATTGATACAAATCGATATTCGTATAAGTTAAATTAATCGAATGTTACTAGAGCTTAACTTCTTAAATTGCGTTGATAAAAAACGAGCACAATTGTCAATAGATTTTTACGCAAAAAATTAAAAAAAAAAATCTAATTCCGTCATTTTTTAGACATATATCTCAAGGTTTCAACTGTCTTAACATTTTGACGTTTGAAAAGAACGAAATCGAATTGTGTTTTTAGCATATCCTAGAAATTTGCATAATGTGCTATTTATTCGTATAATGTAGCGTGTGCGTAGATAAAAACAACAAACAGATAATAACAAACTATATCTATTCATTTCCAGATATGATTTTTTCTGCGTATACTACACGGCGCAATTGCTCAAGAAATAATATTACGTACTCAGACGATGATCTATGTGCTGCTAAACGATATTGAGGTGAATATTGAGGCGCTGTGATGGGGTGGGCAATATCCACCATAGCATGGATCGTTATATGGAGTTGCGCCTTACTGCGGGGCCTCAATTTCGCTCCACAAGCATCTTCGAAGCAAGTGCCATGTGATAAAACAAGAAAAGTCTTCACAGACTCGTGGGGAGTCATCAGCGATGGGCCTATGGGCTCGAATTATACTCAAGATTCCCATTGCGAATGGCTCATCAAAGGTACAGATACATAAATACTTGTCCACTTTAGAAGATACGATATAATTATTGGAATTTAAAAGTTAGTAGCGATTTTATTATAAGATTTATGAGGTGGATGAAATCCAAGAAACAAGTTTCTCCATGCTCAAACATTTAAAGAGAAACCCTACTTTCTCTACTTTATCCTATTCACGCATATATCAGGAGAATAAAGTATGTTAGATTTAAATCATGCAGCACTAATAATATGCAATAAAAATTTTTGAGAAATTTATACGTAATATTCCTTATTTTGTTGCAGCTAATCACAGCCGTCAATTTATCACATTAAGTTTTCGAACTATGGGCACAGAATGCAGCTATGATTATGTATTTGTTTACGATGGAGATTCCTTTCGTTCCCCACTTCTTGGTAGTTTTAGTGGCAAAACGGAACCGCAGCAAGTGACATCATCCTCTGGTTATGTAAGTATACATTAACAGTTCATTAACAATTTGAATAGGATTTATAGTTCATTAATTCGACATTAATAGTCATGAAAATGTAGAAAAATATGACTTTTTGTAATTGAAAGATTATATAAACAAGTTTTTATATGTAAGGAATAATGAATTTTTAATAGACTAGTTTGTTGCTAAGAACAAGATACTATAAAATTATATATATTTTTGCAGATGTTAATATTGTTGTATAGTGACACGAATTATGTCCTAGATGGTTTTCGTGCAGAATTTTCAGTCACAGATTGTCCGAATAATTGCACCCATCATGGAAAATGCATCAACAATACGTGCTTTTGCGAAAACGATTGGGGGGGTAAAGATTGTTCTCGAGCTCTCTGCCCAAACAATTGTAGTCAGGCCGGTAACTGCGGGATGAAGAGATGCGAATGCAGCAATGAATACTCTGGGCAATCTTGTTCGTTGCATAAAACACACCCGGAAGGAAATCGGTACGTTATCCTGAGATTGCTGCTCTTATATCCATTTTTATTGTTACTGATAAAATATGATCGTAAAGGTGCCTTTTTCTTAACAATTTATATTAAATTGCGCTTATTCAAGCAATATATAATAATAAATACGATATGTAAATAAAAGATTCTTATGACAATCTGATTAATTAAACAGATGGCATTGGTTGTCACATTCAGAAGGTGGACTGAGACCACGCGCAGCCCACACGGCAGTTTATGTTCTGGAAACAGACTCGCTTTATATTTTCGGAGGTTACGATCTTAATTATATACTCAGTGATTTAGAAGTGTACAGGTTTAACACAAGTCAGTGGGAAGACGAATATGGAAATGTATTAGGTGAATTGAATAAATTTGTTTAACATGCTATAATAATAAAGCGTTTCCGAATCCAATGTATAATATTATGAATTTGCAGAAGGTGCCGCATCTGCGGAATATCTGGATCCTATGCTGATCGCTACCGAATTACAACGCAATCTCGGTGCCAAGGAAATATACGGCCTACCAACGTCGTCCTTAATTTGGAAAGTGCTTTATAGTATTAAAGATAATAACACGTTCAGCCTGCTTGATCGGACTGTCGACAGCAATCAGCATAGCACGCGAGAATTCAGAAACGTATCTAAGGACAAGGAAAATGAGAATAGCAAAAGCACCATTAGGATTGATAGGAACGAAGGCTCCAAGAGAAAGCATCCGCGAAATATCAGACCGCGATATTCGCAAATGTCGACAAGGTAACAAACGATTGATTACTTCCTAATTTAACACCGTGAAAATTGTTTTCGGTAGATTTGCAACAAGCGTTGGTTTTATATTTTTATCGTGCGAAAATGTGAAAATATAAGTTGTCTCTATTCTAAAGATCTCTCAAAAATGATGTTTATTTTTTAATTACTAATTTTATCACAAAGATAAAATTTTTATAAATTTTCAAGAAATATTTAACTCGTGTTATTTGTACCGTTGGATTTATTAAATTATCATACAATTTGTCTTTTTATTAGGCATCGTAGAAACTTGGATTTATGCAAAGAATGCCATATGACGGACGCGCAGAAGGAGGACGCGAAATGGGAGGAACAAGTCGTAGCGGGATCCGCGGAAGATAATATCTTTATGGAAGAGTTTATTGATCCGAAATTGTCCGCGAGCGATTCGGCGAAAGGAGTAGCTACAGAACCCTCCATTGACGAATCGCCGAAACCGGCTCCTCGATATGGCCATGCTGCATGCAAATACCAAGGTCTGGTGACGTGTTGTGTTGACAAAGTGTCTATAAAAGCGTGGCAAGAATTTCCGAATTAGAATTTATAAAAATGTAGATTTTTGACTGCAATTATAGAGGTATAAATAGTATCTTTATAATTTTAGATGGTTTCGTAATTTACGGAGGAAAAGTACAAGACGGTTCCTTGTCGAACGAGCTGTGGCATTACAATGTGAATAAGCGCATGTGGACCTTGCGCGCTAAAGACTCTCCTTTCTATCCATCCAGACTTACAAGGCACACCTTAACTTTAGCGAATGATTATATTTATCTGTTTGGAGGCAGCACCGTTGACGGAGAGTTTTCGTCTAGTCTGTTTAGAATCAAATTAAACTTATGTAAGTTCGCGCATTGAGATGAAATAAGAGAATAGAATCCACACTCAAAAAAATATTTCGCTGATGTAGTTAGATTTCTAGATATCGCAACAAGAATGTATCGCTATTTTTCGTATCTGTGAAAACATTGTTTGTCACATATAGAATTTATAGCAGTAATGTTCTAGCAATAGCTTCTGAAAAATTTAGGTCCATTGCTAAATGTTATTCATTGCATGATCTAACACGTGATTGATCTTATACAGATAGGCGCTTTAGAGAAACTTTCTTTTTAAAGTTCACAAACAATACAGATATATATTCTGTTTCTGTCATCTAAACTGATTAAGTAATTACATATGCAATATCACAACAGTTGCTAATCATTTATCTGTTTTAGTTAATTTTTTACACCTAGAAAATTTTAGCTGTTATTGCAAGATCATTTTTTTGAGTGCAATACTTGATTAAAGACGAAGATTTGTGAAGGAAATATTCAACCTTGCAATTGAAAAATACTAATGTAACGTACAATTACAGCGGATCCCACGGCGACCACTGAGAGATGGATAGAAGTGCGACCTCGAGGCGGTAAAGACTTGACGTGCGCGTGGTAGCGCACTCGACCGTTTATCATCACGCTACTAATTCTCTACTTGTATATGGCGGAGTGGTCGCCAGTGTCGCTCGATTTAGTAAACTGTCAGATCGAATGTTTGTCTTCCAACTGGACAGAAAAGTGTGGTCCGAGATTCATTATCCGAGAGCGCACTTGCGAGACACGTACGTGCCAAGAGAGCGCGCGTTCCACACATGTAACATCGTAGGTAATTATCTCGCCATAAATTACTCTTTAATTATAATGTGAAATATCGAGAGATCCTAATATTTTATTTCAAAATTTATCGACTTTAATGACAGATTTGTAGAATCTATCGTGTTTTTGAAGTTTAACGAAAGCGTGATAAAAGATGTTATTTGTTATTTTGACAGGATCCTAATAGATATAAATTTTATTTCAAAATTTATCGACTTTAATGACAGATTTGTAGAATCTATCGTGTTTTCGAAGTTTAACGAAAGCGTGATAAAAGATGTTATTTATTATTTTGACAGGAAATTATCTGGTGGTGTTTGGCGGATATTCTCACAGGCACAACAAGGAGGAGATTTGTTACGACAATCAGATGTATCTTTATCATCTTGGTTGTCACGTGTGGGTGAGCCACGATGTATTAGGCTCAAATGACAAAGGTGAAGCGAATATACGATTAATGTGATAATAAAAAAATTTATAATGACTTTTTATAAGTACATTTTATTTTGTTTTACATTAATAATGAGATTTACTTCTCCACTTTTAGAATCTCGATATCCTAAGCAGCAGGGCGTATTTGCTCATGCGGCGGACGTGCGAAACGGAAATACCTTGTTGCTTGTCGGCGGATATCACGGTAATGTGAACTCGGACCTTCTCGCGTACACTTTGCCGCCTACGTTAGCGCCGGGGGATGAAGACTACATCGAGCCAGAGCAAGTTTGCCCGAGACACAAGAGCTTAATGGAGTGCGCGGCAAATCCCGAATGCGGCTGGTGTTCTGCAGACGAAGTAACTTACCAATTAATATTATTAATGCATTAACGCCTAATTAAAAAAAAAGCATTTATAAGATTTATTTTTATAGAATTTTGCAAAATGGCGTGCGTGGATTTTTAGGGTCGCTCAATTCGATTCTGATTTAAAGTTCTCGAATTCAGCGGACTTAATTTTATTCCCATTAAAGCTTGGTTTCTTTCATTCTTATTTTTACATTTCTTTTCGACACGTTTCAGATATGCTACGGTCGGACGGTCGGTGGCAGCAACTGCACAACGAATTTGCAGACAACACGCTGCCCGGGAGTCTGTCCCGCCTTGGGCGATTGTCATTCCTGCTTGATACACGGTCAGAACGGCGGCAGCTGGGGCACGAATTCCCGCGGCAAGGCATCCGTCTCGACGAAGTTGAAGCTAGGCCCGTGCACGTGGTGCGTCCAGAACGCCCGGTGTCAACCTCAGAACGACAAGTACGGGGTGTGCGGTCAACGAGAGGACACACCGTCGCAAATCACGGGCTGGTGGGGATCAACGGGCACGGAAATCACGATGGTCGAGATGTGCCGCGAGATGGACAAGAGACCGGGATTGACTTCCTCAAGTACAATCCGCCGGTGAACTTCAGCCAGCCTGATTCGGTCACCATAGTGAACGCCACCGTGGTGGACTTCAACGTGCCGTCCACGCAGGGCGCGAAAACGGAATCGGGGCTCGGTGGTGAAATGATCGCCAGGCTGACCGGCTTTCTTAGACCGCCGCACTATTTTTGGGACAGTGCAGCGGAGCTTTTAAAAATCTGCGTCAGTTACAACAGCGCGACGCTTCATGTATCTCGAAACGACAAACCTGATAAGCTGGTGAGTTGTACAGAATGTTTGCAAATTTGCGAATCAAAATACTATGGTAGAAAAATTGTCAAAAAATTCGGCGATCAAAGTTCAGAGTATTCTATACGCGTTATCTGTGTAGTTGGCTAGATAATTGCGTTGAAAAATCACAGAGAGACAGTTTCGCTTTTATTCGAGAGAAGAATCAAAGTATTCTTGTCACATAAAATCAATCGAATAAATTTTATAATCTTTTTTTTTTAATTTTACTGTGATTGAAATATTCTACAATTGAATTTCTTCACTCAGGAACTCGTTGCCAATATAACCACGGACACGCCAAAATGTGTACAAATGAGATGGCCGGATGGTCATTCGGTGGACTTGCAACCGGGTCGCTATTTATTGGACTTCGAGTCGAAGAGAATAGTGACCGCGAGCTACATTAGCGCCAGTAGAATGGAGATCAATCATTTGAAGGACAAGGATAACACGAAGGTGTTCACGTTCGAGTATCTGGAGCCGTATCAGAACGGCTCCTGCCATCAGTACGGCAACTGTCTGCACTGCTTGACGGACTCCTCGTGCGGCTGGTGCGATATCACGAACCAATGTCTGCCGCGTTCCGTCAACGAGATGGAAAGCTGCGCGGCGGACGTGGAGTGGGACGAGGAGCAGGGGAAGGCGGTGAGCGAATGGCATTACCTGACGATCACACCATCCGCATGCGCCAACTGTTCGAATTACATCTCCTGCGAGTCGTGCGTGGGCACGAACTTGTGCGAGTGGTGGACGGAGGAGGCGAGATGCGCGCGAATTGGCCGGCTGCCCGACGCCGTGATGACCCTGGACCGATGCCCGATCCCGTGTCGGCAGCGCTCCAATTGCACTCAGTGCCTGGACGAGCGCGGTAGGTGCGTGTGGTGCGAGGCCACGCGGGAGTGCTTCTCGTTCTCGGTGTACACGTCGGAGTACCAGTTCGGCCTGTGCCGGGAGTGGATGGATCAGGCGGGCCTGATGGGCGTCACGTCGCGCAGCGACCTGTCGGTCACCGGCAACGATCAGTGCAAGAGCTGCAGCCGGCACACCAACTGCTCCAGCTGTCTGCACTCGCTCAGCTGCGGCTGGTGCTACAGCCTGGAGAATCCCATCACGGGCGTGTGCGTGCAGGGCGACTTCAATCAGCCCCACGTCAACTGCAGCGCGGTCATCAACGAGTACCGGAACAGCAGTCTGAAGGCCGACGAGTCCAACTGGGCGTACGCGCAGTGCCCGGACGTAGACGAGTGCGATCTCGGTCTGCACGACTGTCACCCCGACGCTCTCTGCACCAACACTCACGGCAGCTTCAGCTGCCAGTGCAAGCGCGGCTTCAACGGCGACGGCAAGGAAAATTGCACCAAGACCTGCTACGAGAGCTGCGTCAACGGGTATTGCAGCGAGGCGCCGGATTACAAATGCGAGTGCAATCTAGGCTGGACGGGACCCGATTGCCGAACCAACTGCGGCTGCTACAATCATTCCACGTGTCTGCAGGTAGGAATACAGACTGTGCGCAAAATACAAAAGCAAGTGATTGAGGAATTTTGCCGAAAAATTGCATAAAATCAATTAACTTTATCGCTTGCTCTAAGATAAAAACTAATTAAATTATAAGATTAATCCGAAAAGTGTGACATTACGTGCTTAATCGCGAAATAGCGCGAGACGATTCGCTTTCGAGCAGTTGCGTAAAATTTAAATATTGTAAATAGATTAAAAAAAAAAAGCGTATAACAAGATTTTATTACATTAAACTTCTTTTAACCCTTTCGATAACAGCGGAATAAAAATAAGTAACAAGCGCTGTGGGCGCATATATGCGCAGACCGAAATAAACTTTTCTCTCTGAGCGCATGTATGTGCCAACAGTGGGATTAAAAATTATAGGTATCCGTGCCGAACTTTTCACTTACGTGTCATTCGCTTTATCAAATCTCAATCACTTTGCCATTTTCGAATAATCCGTGAGATTGTAATCTTTGAAATTTTTAGGGACCAGGCATCTGCGACGAGTGTCAGGATTGGACGATCGGTCGCTATTGCGAAGATTGCAAGGCGGGCAGCTATGGAAACGCGACGACGCCGTTGGGCTGCCGCGAGTGCGACTGCAACGGACACGGCGACGTGGAACTCGGCATATGCGATCGGCAGACAGGCGTGTGCTTCTGTCGCGACAACACAGAGGGCGATAAATGTCAGCGTTGCAAGCGGGGCTACTACGGCGATCCGCGCAACGAAGGGATGTGCTACTACGGCTGCATGTCGCGGGGCATGCTGGGCGGCGAGGGAAACGGCAAGCAGGGCCTCGGCAGTCGGCACTCGCAGTTCTCGCTCTGGAGCAGCCACACCGGCGACTCGCCCACGAGAGAATGCCTCTGGATCGTCAGTCCGGAGAAGGATCTCTCCTCGGACTCGACCACCCCGGCGATTCAGAGCGTCATTCAATTCACCATTCACGACGACATCAACGTGAGCTGCCAGGAGAATAGCGTGTACGTGTACGACGGCTTGCCGGAGTTCGTCTCGTCGACCGGCGGTCACCAGAGCCAGCTGCTGGGCGTGTATTGCACCGAGAGCACCGATTATCCGGTAACGGTGGAGGCCAAGTCCGGCTTTCTCACGGTGCACTACAAGCAGCTGGACGAGGTGGAGGGCTTCAACGCGAGCTACGTGGTGATGACGTGCAACAGCTGCGTGGGGAATCGCGAGTGTCGCAATGGCAACTGCCTTTGCAAGCCCGGCTACGTCGGCATCAGTTGCGACGTGGAGATCTGCCCGAGCAACTGCACCGCCTCGAAGAAATACGGCGTCTGCGACAAGGGCTACGGGCGTTGCGTCTGCACGCCCGGCTACGGCGGTCGCGACTGCTCCATCCGGCTCGAGGATCACCAGCTGATTTTCACGGAGCTCTTCAACTCGGAACACCTGGCCGACCATCTGGATCATCTGAGAAAGACTCTGCCGCGTTTCGGGCACAGTCTCGTGGCGGATCGGCGCGGCAGCTTGTGGATGTTCGGTGGCTACTCGCTCAGCCACGGGCCGCTCAACGACATCAGGCTCTTCGACACGAAGAACAACACGTGGATGCCGGTGACGGTGGAGTCTACATCGGAGGCGTCCATGCCGCAGGGCCGCTACTTCCACGCCGCCGAGATCGTGCACAGCCGGCAGCAGATCTACGTCTACGGCGGCCTGTCGATGAAAGACGAGGACGTGCAAGGATTGTCGAACAACACCCTCAGCGATTTCTGGAAGTTTAGTCTGCAAAATCAGCGCTGGAGTCAAATCGTGCAGGACAAGACGAGGAAGGAGCCGCCGCCTCTGGCTGGTCACACGCTAACTTTGCGCAGGGATGGCGAGTCCGAGAGCCTGATTCTCATCGGCGGTTTCAGCCCGAAATACGGATATTTGGACACGGTTTGGGAGTTTAATCTGGAAGCGGAGACCTGGGACACCGTGAACACCGTTGGAAATCGACTTCTCGGCGTTTACGGCCATTCCACGGTGTATCACAGCAAATCGAACAGCTTCTACGTGTTCGGCGGCTACACCTACGCGATAAACAGGACCTTTATCTCGAACAAGTTGTACGCCCTGGATTACAAGACTCGCGCTTGGTCCGTGCTGCCGCCGTTCGAAGACGACTTCACCGACGGCAGCAACCTGCCCCAGGCAAGATTCCTCCACTCCGCGGTCACGACGGACGAGTACATGGTGATATTCGGCGGTCGGCAAAATCCCCACAACACCTCGGACTCGCTGATAGCGTACAGATACTCGTGCAATTTGTGGATACGTCTGATAACGAAAGACATGGAGACGATCGGAAGTCCGCCACCCCCGGCGTACGCTCACGCGATGACTCACGCCGATCCCGAGTCGAACGCTATCTACGTCGTCGGCGGCTTCGACGGCGGCATCAAGAGTCACGTGACGCTGATCAACATACCGGAGGATCTATGCAATCTCTGGACCGATAAAATCACGTGCAGAAAGTATTTCGGCTGCTCGTTTTGCGCCGTTATAACTATCACCGGCACGAACACTTCCTTTTGTTTCTCAAACGAGATATCGAGCAACCGGGACGACAAGTGCGACATCAATGTCACGCAAGCGCAACGATCGAACGGAATATTCTGCGACTCGGACTGGATGGCGGGCAGGAAGTGTCAGAATTTCAAAACTTGCACGGAATGCCTGGCGGAGTGGCCGTATTACAAAGACGACACGTCGGTCTGCAAGTGGTGCACCAAGTGCTCGCACGGCAAGTGCATCCCGTCGGACAGGGACTGCGACGAGCAGATGCTGATCGGGAAGAACAAGTGCAGCGTGTCGGTGACGAACGTGAATCAGTGCGGGGAGCGACTGTGCCCGGCGAGCGACTGCGAGAGGTGCAACAATCTCAGCGGCTGCGTGTGGACGAGGCAGGTTCTCAAGACCAACAACGAAATGGGGGTGACGCTGACCGGCGAGCCCGTGTACAACTGGAACTGCGTGCCGGACGATATCTTCGAGCGTTCCAGCATCGTTCTAAAAATGAGCAGCACGCAGTGCGAGAGAAGATGCTCCGATCACACGGATTGCAGAAGCTGTCTGAGGGGCACCGGGGCCGAGGGGGGCTGGAGCGAGTGCAGATGGTCCACGCAGCTGAACGAGTGCATATCCCCGTCGTACCAGCCGCTTTACTGCGCCGGCGGCGTTTGCGGCTTGGTGTTGCGTAACGCGGACATGGACCACTGTCCGGAGCCGTGCTCGGTTTTCAAGCAGTGCAGCACCTGCCTGAAGCACTCGCACTGCGGCTGGTGCTCTTTGGACTCCGCCAATATAACCGGCCAAGGAATATGCACGGAGGGATCGCTCGAGGCGCCCGCCGATCATCCGGCGGGCGGCACCTGCGAGATGCTCTATCATCAGCACTTTCCGAAGGCGGAAACGCCGGACGTCGCAGCGCCGGGCTCGCAACATCCGGACGTCCCGGAGTCGCAGGACAATGTCACGATGCCGTTGTCGCCCGGTGCGATGACGAAACTCGAATTCTCGTGGCACTACGTCCGCTGTCCGCCGGAGAACGAGTGTATAAACGGCCATCACACGTGTTCGCCGATGAGCGAGAAGTGTTTCGATCTGGAGGAGGGCTTCGAGTGCAGATGCGGAGACGGATACAAAACCGAGACCACGTGGGTGAACGAATTCGGGAGGAAGATTTGCGTGCCGATGTGCACGCAGGGCTGCGTGAGAGGCACCTGCGTCGAGCCGAACGTGTGCCGTTGCGATTTCGGCTACGTCGGCGCTAATTGCTCCATTCAGTGCCAGTGCAATGGCCACAGCAATTGCGCCGGTCCGGACAAGCTCGACGTCTGTCTCAAGTGCCACAACAACACGATGGGTCCGCAGTGCGAGAAGTGTATGCCCCTTTTCGTCGGCAATCCCGCGGACAACGGCCAGTGCGTGCCGTGTCTCGAGTACTGCAACGGCCACACGCGGGTCTGCATCAACGACAGCATGACCGTGCCCGACCCGATCTCGGTCGACAAAATGTCGATAGAGCTGCTGAAGAAGCAGCTGGTGGAGGGGCCGGTGGCGAGGGCGAAGTGCGTCAACTGCGGCAACTTCACGAAGGGCGACAAATGCGGCGAGTGCATGACCGGCTACTTTCGGGGATCGGAGGACCTGCGGGACGTGTGCCGGCCCTGCGAATGCCACGGCCACGGCTTCACGTGCGATCCCGTCACCGGCGAGAAGTGCAATTGCGGAAATAATACGGAGAGCGAGCCGTCCTGCATCAGCGGTCCCGTGAAGAGCACGAGCACGGCGAGCCTGCCGTGCTGGAAGGTGCAGTGCAGCAAGTGCAGAGAGAACTACGCCGGCACGCCGACGATGGGCCATCAATGTTACAGAACCGTCACGGTCGACAACAAAATGTGCTTCGACTCGAAGTTGATTGGTGAGCAAATAGTTTCGCGGACGAGAGAAAGTTTTTTTTATGTAATAGTTCTTTTTTCTTTAATGTTTTTTTCATAAAAATTCTATTAAGACATGGTTTTTTGTATGTGTGCAATAATGTTTCGCCTTTTGTTAAAAGGTAAATTTTTTAACAGACAGCTCTTTACGCGACAAATAGTAAATACTTCTCGGCAAAGGAAGCAGTTTCGATAGAAATATTTTTTTGCAATGATATAAATCAAGTGCGAAAACTTGTACTAAAATTCTTTTACCATAAGCTATTCAATATCTTTCTGCTTTTGCGCGAAAACAATCGTGCTATACCTTATTGTTTCATTTCAGACGAATGCAAAATGAAGCCGAAACCCTTAAATCCTGGCCAGACCGTTTTTTACATGGTGCAGCCACGGTTTATGAATGTGGACATTAGAGTGATGGTGGACGTCACTCAAGGCGCTTTGGATCTATTCTTGAGTCCTCGAGATGACTCCTTCGTCGTTACTTTGAATTCGACGACTGGATATCAAGATGTACAATTTTCTCATTTCCGCGTTTACAAATTATTCATCCTTTTTCAAGCACGAATATCAATTTTAATTTAACTCTCTTATACTCCGTAATTGCCCGCAATTTATCTATCTCGATATATCATCGAGATAATGTCTGAAATACTATTATTACATTTACAGGTTGAAATAGACGGTAGGTTCATGCTGCGGCCTGACAGTCCAGACACGTGGCCTGGATTGGAGGATCAGCCCAACAGCAAACTGAGAATCGTCGAGTTTCACTCGCGCGGCAATTTCGCGATAAACGGCACCACGACGCAGCCAACGTGGAACATCGGCCCGCAGTACTTCGTGATGGAGCACTTCGCGGAGAACCTGGCGACTTTCCTGACGATCGACAGACGGAACACATTTCTGGTAATACGCAATTTAACGAACCGCCTGGTGCTGACGCTGCCGCAGGACAAGCACGAGCTTGGCCAGACGAAGTTTCACATCGCGCTACGGGCGATCGAGCCGGCGAACACGGAACTGAACGGCCGTGCCGCGTACGGATTGATCTTCTTCCGACAGGATCAGCTGCACATCGATCTGTTCGTCTTCTTCTCGTGCTTTTTCTCCTGCTTCTTCCTGTTCCTCGCGGCGTGCGTGGTCGCGTGGAAGACGAAGCAGGCGGCGGACGTGCGCCGCGCCCGGCGGCGTCACGTTGTGGAAATGCTGCACATGGCGAAGCGACCGTTCGCTTCCGCGACGATACTTTACGATCGAGACGGCGGCGAATGCAGTCCGAGCTCGCCGCAGCGAAAGGGCAGACGTAGCAAGCATATCAGCTTCCACAGTGATGTGAGACCGGTGGCCGTCGAGCCAACCGACGACGGCGTCGCGGCGGTGGCTACAGTGTTTATCAGGCTACCCGGAGGACGCCAGGCACCAGTTAAACTGGCTCTGGGTAGCGCGCTCATACTCTTGACCAGAGTCTACCCCGTCAACAGCAGAGTGTTCCTAAGACGTAGAAATAGCCATGCGACGAACTGAACCAGTGTTAGAGTGGAGTCTCGATCTCAACGGTCTTCGAGATCCATGCCACGAACACCAATCTTTTCCCTGAACACCTCTCGAACGTCCATAGACACTGACGTTTGAATGTAAATCAATTTAATATGGATTAATCGCTACAGTCGCTTAGTCCGTATTTCTCGACAGCCTGGAATTAGCAGTATTCAAATTTAATGGATAAACTCTCTTTTTTTTTTAGAATAGTTTCATCGCGATAAAGATAATAGGCGAGATAAGCTCGGGATGTAAATTTTAATATAATGCGTATTTTGCTAAGGGAACATCTCGTAACACCAATTTTTTCTCGATTTTACAACTTGTAATTTTGTCCTTTTTGTTTGGAATTTTTTTAGATCGATCTCATCGCATACGTATTATTAATTGGTACAATAAGAATTCCTTCAGCAATAATAATATTAAATTTACAGAATTCAGCGCTGTGCAAAATAAATTATTAATTTTTATATTTTGAAATTTTATTGCGTGTGTATTGGATTCATAGATCCGCAACGCCGAAGATCTTCGGAACTATTTATAGAATTAAAGATATTATAGGTATATATTAACAAATTTATGAATCTTGGGAAATTTTCAGACACCATCTATGAATGATCAATAGATTTAAAGATTCTACATCGTGGATCTGTGAATCGAATAGGTTTTTCTTAAATTGCAGATCTAATATTGTACAATAATCATAAGAAGCGATAGTAAGATTATTTAATCTAAAGATAATATATTGTATCATTCCATGACGAGACTGTATGTTTGTATATATAACAATGTGTAATTATGTATTAATTCGTACTTTATACATTTTTGTAGAAATATTTTACGAAACATGGTTTCGCGTTATAGAAAGTTTGTCTATCTCTGGAAGGAAGTGGAAATGAAATTAAAACGATTTTGCGCGATTTATATCGGTTGAACGAACAGTATTAGAATTGTTGATTAAAGATGGAGCTCGACGATGCATATATTAATAAGGTTCCTATGCCAAATTGATTGGAATAAATGTGAGCATCCTAATATAATAATATATTATTTATCGTAAGCAGAGAGCTAAAGAAAAGGGGCAAAAAATCTCACTTAAAAAGTGTACATACATATAGAAGAGTTGCGAATTGTTTGTATATTGATCGAAGACATACTCGATAGACAGTTTTTGGTCGGAAATAACGATTTTGTGCAATGGATCTATATTGGTATATTAATCAAGTTTAAGCTTCAGTTCCTTGTATGATGCCAAGAAAATCCTTGCAATTCAAATAAATATCGACATGTTACGATCACATGTTTTGATATCAATGAGACTTGTCAATATATGCTTTCGTTTTGATAAGTTTCTTGGGCATCAAACAAACTGCGTAACAAATGGACGTATATTGATCAGATAATTATTGCAAACAGATTTTATTTTTTACTTTGTCATGAAAAATATGAAACTGTTTTAAACTTCTCGAATTTTCGATCCGCCACTGATTGTATATTAAGCAAAACGTATAGATGATGCGAATATTGTAACGATATTGACATCGATGTGTCTAGAAATCATCGTGAGAGGCACGAAAACGGGGTAACGAGAGATTGTATACTGTTTTACATGAATTTCAAGAGCTATGGAAATTAAGAATATGAAATAACACCAACAAATCATGCTGATGGCAATTACTAATCGAAGATAGAAACGTGTATCTCGCATAATTCTCGTAAATTGAGTGAGCGAAGTGTTAAAATAAAAGGGTCATAAGACTTTGAGGGCAGATAATATTTATCTAAAAAGGAAAAAGCTCTTAATAAACATGGATTCAAAACTAAATACTTACTGGGCTACGAAAGAAGGTTAAAAAATGAGGCGCAGAAAGATAAAAGTTTTATTTTAATATCCTCAACACACTCGCATACACATGTATGTAGTGAGATTTGAATGTGTATTATCACTTATCACATGACGTTCAAAGTATCAATTCTCACAGTGAATCCAGGACAAATATAAAATTTTGTACTTAAAAGATTCTTGATTTCATAACAACAATAAACTAATCTCTTCATTGCCTCATTCGTGTATTTTGTTTGCTGTCGAACTAAAATAATTAATGGTGTGTAGTGAAGAAAATCTAAGGCCTCTTTTAAGTATATGCGTTCTTTTTGTTGTTTATTGCATAAACGACGCATATATGAGCAAGAGCTTAGATACGCGTACATAAATAAAAACGTACAATATGTACGTATCATGATATTAATTACATTGGCTATTTAACAAGTGCAGCTTGACCATGAACAAATTATTTATTGATTAATCATTAAGCAAATATATCGACGATATGACGCGATCAGTCTGTTGAATCTCAAAATTTTTTCTTATTATATAAGCTCGTCACTAACTTTTTATTATTTCATAATAGCCTTCAGAGCTTACCTATATAGTGCACTTATTTATCGTAGTTTCTCTACCTTTCTCTCTTTTTTCTTTTTTTCCTCTTTCTTCACTTTTCTCGATGCAGGGATCTGTAGAAGCAAAATTCGCAAAATGTTTTTTTCTAAAGTCCGTGGTTTTCGAAATTTTAAAGAGCTCCGTTACTGATTTCTCACTCTGTATATAATTTTATAGTAGATTTTTATATAGAATTTTTATAGAGAATTTTTATAGAGAATTCGCCTTTCAATTTGGAGGAATTTTCTTCGTAGATGGATGTAAAAATTCTGAAGGCCTTTATAGAATTTAAAAAATTCTTAAAAAATGGAGAATTAAAGTTAATTCGATTATCTATACAAAATTGGATAACAAGATCATTATAATTCTCATTTTTTTTCCGCAGAAGATGTGCTAAACTCCGCGCAATATCGTGCAAAGCATATAAATTGCTAAGTACAGAATTGACAGTATATGTACATTTATATAAATTTATGAGAGTTACACACTGTGTGTGCGTGCGTGTGTGTGCATGTGTATGAGCGTGCATACATATATAAAATATATACGAGAATAAACACGAGATGGTAAATATATAATTTATCGATTGTACAGATTTAAGTGTTATTTTCGAAATATTCTATTTTATATATAATTATTGCGTCGTCGATGGCAGAGAGTGATAACGTTTCAATATTGACATTGTATCGCGCAAAAGATCGAAAAACAATGGCATAGTGTGATCGATGGACTTAATGGTTGTGAAAATACGAAAAAAAAACAACAATTTTCAGCACAAACATGCAATTTATCTTTTAAAATTCATGCTGCAAGGAGAAACGTAAGGTTGTGCAATGATTAGTGAATTGTATTGCGAAAACTTTAATAAACATACGTAAAACCGACACTTTCATTGGAAAAGTCATTATTATTCCTTAATAAATTATTCGGATTTTAAAATAAATTGTATATTTATGGCTTTTCCTTTTCGGTCTATTAAGTGCAGAACAATTTTTCAGATATGGAATTAATTGTTAATGTAAAAAAACACTTAATCTAAAATTTACTTAGCTATCTATAAAATAAAATCGCTTCAAACTTCAACCAGCTGCAAAAAGAGTTAAATTGAGAATTAAAGGACTATATTTAGCGTTAAATGCAGAATGTGCAGAGTCCAAAATAACAATGAATAAATAAGAACGCTGATAGAAAAAAGTCAGACTGTGATTATAATTAAATCATCTTTATTCTCTCATACGTCAATTCAGTAAAATCTCTCAAATTCAATTTATCTTTCATATATATAGAATTCTCTTTCATATACTACATCTGTTTTCAGGACATTCTTAGAACGTGCCGTTCCGCAATTTTTTATTTACATACTTAGATTATCACATACTTCATCTGCATCCTTAACACACACGTGCACATACATATGTATATAACAAATAATCCAAGAAACCAATTGTTAGTATTGTTTCTTCTCTGTTCAAAAAGTTTTCTGCCTTTTATACTTTAACAGCAACAAGAGACTAACAAGCAGTCACCGGTCTAAAAAAAATTTTTTCAAGTAGATTTTCTGATTTTTAGAAAACAAATATACGCACAAAAAGGCAGCTCGGTCGTCATAAGAACAGTTTTCAGGTCACCTTATCAGTCGAATCAACTGATTTACCGCTAATTCTCATTTACTATATTTTTAACAACAACATATTTTTATTTTTTATGAAATTATAAATTACAAAATTTTAATATTAAAAATCAACGATTTTGCTTCTTTCAAATATTCTTATATATTGCGACAATGAATAAACTGTAATGTTTTTTTTTTTTTAATATTTCAAAACCAGTTCTTCAAACATTTTTACATCAGTAAAAGAAATCATTGCTTTTTACGATTAATCTTGTCACAGAATTGATGAGAGATTCATTACAAATGCGAGAGTAGATAAAATCTAAATCTTTGTGACTCTTTCTTTCCCTGCTGTGTATTAAAATATGTACATTTAATAGAGAAACAATCTTCAGCTTTAAACATTTTCTTAATATTAAAACGTATTATTTTGGGAACAAGACAGAAAAATCGTCTCTTGACTTTATATAATTTAACGCTTTGTACAATTTCAATTTGAATTATAACATTCGCGACATTCTTCGAATCACAACAATGGGGCACGGCGAAGTCTAGTATTAACATTTCACTCGGAAATAAACTCGCGTGCAACTTGCATCTCTATAAAACTATAGTGATAGTTCTAGCATTGAAAATAGTACATGTCGCAAAGTGAAACACGCTCTAATTGCACGCGCAACACATCTGATCTCGCGAGAATTTTTCATTTATCAACGCATTTTATCAGAATTAATGCTAAATATCAGTGACTCAGGATATCACTTTGAAACGCTTGCCAGGATGTCCAATGAGGATATGCAAAATCTATGAATAAGGTGCGATTATGCTTATCTATATTTTTCACGCATTGCACCGCTATTCATTTGGTCAAATACATATGTGTAGAAGAACTTTCATTATATATGTATACCAAAAATTTACCGATTATTTGTTACTTATTGTCAATGTAATATGTAAAAATTGCGCTTGTAGCTTGACAAACTGCAAGATGCAATTGCAAATTGAGAGTATCATAATTGCACGTGCAATTACTGCTCAGCGTGAGACAGGTACGATAAAATGTTTACAGTTGTCGTCATTGTGACGACGCAAGTGTGAGGATTTCATTCTAACATAACATTAGCCACTAGCAATGTGGCAAATATATATATATATGTATATATTGTACATATGCCTGTACATATACATATATAGTATATAAAATACATACATATACATGTATGCATATATATTTATACATATACATATATGTACGAATATATATTTACATTTGTAACAAGATTTGTAAGTAAATAACGACAAACGAAAGATACAATTTAACATACTATAGTATATTTCGATATTAGTGTCCACTTTCAAACAATTACGTGCTATTAAAACGCGATAATTTCGACGAGACTCGAATCTGTTTTTGACGCGTCGCGTACACAAGAATACAAAAGAAAATGTATGTATACAGTATCAAGATGCAACGTTGCGTAATAAAAATTGCAGCAGTATTCAAACTCTGAGTGTTAATAAATAAAAAAATGCAATATAAAGCAATAAAAAGTTAATCTCCTAATAAAATCTTAATCCTATAAAAGATACAAAATAATTTACTTACATGATAATATATAAAAAGGATCTGCCTGATATATATTCATAAAAAGTTTATATAAATTATATAAACTTTTTGAATATATATTTGTAAAAAGTTTATATATATATATATAAGCTTCTTCCATACATATATACATATATACACATATATGTACACATACAAGCTGCTCAATGTAACAGTCCCATTTTCTAAGACATTTGTGACAAATTGATAAAAAATTTTGTATATAAAACTATATCTGTTTCAAATTGTAATAAAAAAATAGTGAAAAATCTTTCTTTTCTTATAAAATTGTGTATACTGCGTAAATATGTGTGCACACGCACGCATATGCACAAGAAGCGAAAGAGAAAGAGAGAGAGAGAAGGAGAGATATGATAATTATAAATGTTTATAATTGTGATTAAATGTTTCTATAAGAATATTTTATGAGAATATTATTGCAACAACATAGTTCCGAAGCAAAATCATTGAAAAGTTCTTCACCATTTCTTTCTTAGACTTTTATTTTTTGTTTAATAGTTGTCATAAGTTAAAAATTAAAAATTTAGCAAATGGTGCAACGCGATAGCATGCAGATTGCCGTTTTTAACGCCGTTCTTTCTTCTAGTTAGCTGGATATTACTCATCTCGGTTAACATTGCAATAAATAAAAAAATAAAAATATTTTCAACAAATGGTTCAAAGCACGTGAAAGTACAAGCTTTCGAGCTTTAAAATGCTTTTTTAATTTTTTTCTCTACGATGATTTTTCGCCGAGTTACAGCAGTTTGAAAATTGGTCAATTTTAAGCGTCTGAACGTCTCGAACGCGATAAAACATTGGCGACCGACGAGCCGACTGGCTGCGCGCCATTAATACGCACGACGCCGTATTAATGGCGCGCAACTCAGTCAACCACACTTCTCCGCCGCGTTGAGACATTTAGACGCTAAAATTGACCAAACTGCTGCAACTCGGCGAAAAATCATCGTAGAGAAAAAATTAAAAAAGCATTTTAAAGCTTAAAACTTGTGCTTTCACATGCGTCGGACCGTTTTCTAAAAATTTTTTATTTTTATATTTTTAATCTCGAAAAAAGAAACATATTCTGCAGCTTTATAAAAAAAATGTGTTGTTGAAAAATTTAACAAGTGCCAAAATCTACAACATTTTACGTACAAAACGCGTTTTTTTAAATTCTGCTACGATTTTTTTTGTCCGAGTTACACGGCTTTAAAACTACATTCTGTAAAAAATGACATTTAGCATTAGGGTGAAAAATACATGTTTAAGTGTATGTAATGTTTCCCCCCTTCTCTTTCTCTCTATAAAATTTTAAAAATATTATAAACATAATATATGAACAAGAATTTTGCCTCAAATTTTTAGGATTTCATTGCAGAAAGATCTTTTCACGAAGTACAGATTCGAGTCATCTTCGAAACTTACTGTTTGTGATGTAAAAAGCGATACTTATAGTAACCACAAATATTTCTCGATCGCGTTCTCAGTCCATTCAATTCACACACTACACATCACATGCATACACACATAAATATATAAATATACAGAACATCTTAGAGAATATGATATGATCAGTAGCAGAAATCTTATCTTCAATAAAGGTTCGATATTTTAAAGTTAAACCTTTTAAGCAAACCTTTTCATTTTTAACATTAAATATCTAGTGATCCAATTCATAATTAATTCATAATTAAAATACAAATAAAATTTTTAATTAATTAATAAAATAACTTTATCATCTGTTTATACAATTGAAGTTTGCCTCGTCGTTTGCCTTTTTAATTTTCAATATTATCTATCGGTATAAAATTTATTAAATTATATTAAATGGTTATTTAAAATCACCTTCACATTCTTCACTTCTGAAAAAATAATCTATTACTGATTCTCATATTTTCTATGACATACTATATATACAAGGCATTCAGGAAGTTTTCCAGTTTTAGTTAACAGTGATGTATATTTAAGTAATAATTCATTAAAGTATTTCATTGAAAGTAACCGCCACGTTTTTTTTTTTTAGGTCAGTGTTCCTTAAACTGTGTTTCACGAAGAACTGGAAATATAATTTATCAATTATATTATCATTCTACATTGCGATTAGTATGTTAATCGTGAGAAATATTCATTCTCTGTTATCTCTACTTTACTATAGTTCATTCAACAAACATAAAAGTTAATTGGAGTAAGAAGATTACATTGAAAAAGTTTAAACTATTAATGTTTTATATATACAAAGGACAATCCTCCCTTTACGCTTTTATATAAAGATTCTTGTATGATATTTAATCAATTGGAGCAATTTTTTTTAAATGATTCTATTAATTATTCATGCATCGGTGCTACCGTTATCTTTATTTTAACATTTACACATCTGATTGAAAGAACATTTTCAATAAATCGTGGTGAAACATTTTATGTCATAACGTTTGCTTCTATTTAATTTTTTTCAACAAAATTTTTCGTAAAGGCTCAAGGCACGACCAACAAAGAAAATTCTCTCTGATATCCCGTGATCTGTAAGTTTAAGAAGCACTGGCATTACATGAATCACTGTCAGCGTGTTTACATCGCGCAGCGAGATAGTACATTTTAAGTTTACAATTTTTCGACAGATCGACTGTCTTCGAGACTACAATCGATCGTCTCTGCTAAACATTTTTATAATCTTTCCCTGCTTTTTCGACAATTGCTTCTCTCTGCGGAATAAAAAGTGACCGACAAGAACTAGCTAGTACATGAGACACCATTGACACTAATTACAGTCAAAAGTTAAGTTCATAAGCTCGTTGGCATACAGAATGCGATGAAAATTATAGTATTATCGGACAATGTTACATCAATCTTCAATTTCTTAAATTGATCTTCACAAAAATAAAGTCAGAAATGAAAAAGTTTTATTTTATTTACATTTCTGATTATTTTTGTACAAGCAATTATCCTATTTTCGATTGTACCGCAATTCATTATCTCGGTACGTAGCAGTTCCAAGGATTTGCGAAGCGATAAATTTGAGAAGATGAAGTATTATAGATATCCAGGAATTTGTAAAAGTTTCGTTTGGCAAAAATTATGAAATTAAAATTAAAATTTGTTACATAAATAATATGTGTGTCGAATCAAAGATATAATACTAAGGAGTCATAGTAATAATTTGTGAATTCAAAGATGCGTATTGAATTTAATGCCAAGAAATATATCTTACTGGAAAAATCTATTAAAACAGATACAAAGTTTCCGAAAGACGATAATATGAACACTCGTATTGATAAGATTGAAAATCCTTAAATTCAAGTCTGAACACAAAAGAATAAAAAAAACAAAAGGGTCTACGGTATTAAAAATTTATAGAATCAAAAATTCACAGAAGAATATATAATTCTAAATGTCTACAGAATTAACAATCCTTGGAGTCAAGCATACGTTTCTTTTTTTTTTTTGCATCGACGATTTCTAAAAATAATAATCTTTATTTCAAACAATATTTAGATTCGCCAATTTGCATAGCGTCGATACTTTGGCTCGAGCTGCTTCATCACTTCTTCAAGTTCGTCGATCTCGTCGTCCTCGTCATCATATTCAATTTCATTCTCTTCGTTATTATCCTCCACCTCTTCTTTTCTCTCCACCACTGCATTATTTCGGGCTGCAAAAATAAAGCATTGGCTTTTTTCTATAAATTAATACTCATGTGCGTATATGATGTAAATTGAGCATTTTGCATTTTGCAGAAGAACAGTGGAAACGTTTTTAGAAAACAATTAAATGCTAAATAATAATAAAAAAAGCTCAATTTTTATAACTTTAAGGTTTATCGTAAAATTAATTGTGACCAACCAAGAAAAAATTTATATATACACAAGCAATACATGAAGCAAGAATAGGAAATTATATAAAATTAATAAGCGTAAGACGTCTTTTTGCTTATTAATGTGTAAAGTTATTACTGTGTTTGTGAAAAGTAGAGTAAAGCATTTGAGATCTTTTCCAAATTCCTTTTGTAAACAAGTGATTCGTTGTAGACGAAAAATCCTCGCCTCACAAGCGCTATTATCGAGAGCTCGTGTCTGCTCTCAACTATAATATTTAAAAGAATTGCAATTTGTTGAATAATGATTTTCTTATTGGCTGTTTTCTTGGGGCAGGGACGTTCTCAGAATAATGAGGGACGAAAATTGGCTGCAGCCTCGCGTTCTCGTTCTCGTTCTCGCGGTGCGCGTCTATATCTTCTTCAAATTGTACATTCGCAGCAATTACGCTGATTGCGTAAACTTGTTTTGTAAAATTATGTAAGATTGCGAAAGCAAATAAGCAGAAAGCCAACATGAATCAAAGCAGTGAAAAAAATGTTTTTTTTTTTTTTTTTTCCGTCCACCACGTTGCAACCCTTAGAATGCACGATCTTTTTACACACACATTAATACACAAGTCCGTGATCATCCGTAAATTTAATTGCTTCCGTCGATACACTCATTCGTGATCTTGCGTTTCTTCATATTGTTTTTCCGAGTCGAAAAGTTAAAAGTATGAAAAAATCATTGTCGAGGAAACTCGATCTTTCGAAATTTGCATCTAACTAAATGTCGTTCGTAGTCGAAACTGTAGCACGCCGAACAACAGTCATTCTATTTTTCTACACACGTTAATTTACTTTAATAAGTTCTTTTCATTTACTAACATTACGTTGTTGCTGAAATTGCAGGTAAATGGTCGGGCTTGTTGCGGTAACGCAGTATTTACATTTAAAGCAGCCACCTGAGGTCGTGCGTGACACATTCGTTACAAAGAATCCGAAGAGAAGGCATCCCGGCGCTCAATCTATACTCACCTGGTACTGTGCACGGCTGCGGGGGAGTGCGCGATTATCGGCGCTGCTGGACAGATCTCATCGGCGGTGACCTCGATTCCCAGAGGCGCGTCGCTCGTCGTCGCGGTGACGGAACGAGCACCACCGACGACCGGACACTTGATGCTGTTGAGATACGAATGCGCGATGTTGTTGCTCACGCTATCGTTATCCGCCAGTCGCGTGTTTCTCGCGAGAAAATCCGACGCGAACTCCTCGAACTTGCCGTTATCCTCGCCTTCGTTCTCGCGCTTCATCTCGCCGTCGGTTCGCTCGTAAACGCCGTTGTCGTTGCGCGAGGACTTGCTCGGAACCGTGACCAGCTCCACTTTCCACTCGGCGGTGGAGTCCACCCGGATGCATATCGACGAGCACTCCGACTCGATCCCGGAGTCCACGCTCTCCTGCAGGCTTCCGCGCGGCGGCGGCGGCGGCGGCGGCGGCGGCATCGGCTGCGCGTCCGCCGTGCCGATTCCAGCGTCGTCGATCCCGAAATCTTGACTGTCCCCGTGCACGCTCTCGGGATTCTCGCCGATCAACGCCGTCGTGGCGCTCGTCGCCGCGGTCCTGGAAGCGGGCAGCTCGAAGTACGACTCCGCTATCCCGGCGACGCGATTCGACGAGTTTTTCGACGCG